GTAATATAGCTCTTGGCCCCATCCACGATTATTCGCTAGATAGGCGGAGCTGTCCTGTTCCAACTGCATGTGTTTAGACCCCGCAGCAGCTCGCGCAGGCAGCTTAGAGTTCACCCCGCAGACGACAGCTGCTCGTCTGACGCTACAGCCCTGGCTGCTGCTTTGCTTTATCCCACCAATTGCATAAAAGCAGGCTTGAGCCAAAATCGAAGCAAATCGTTGCTAGTTGCTTTCCTTACCTAACTGTCCTATCTCAGATGTTTGTTTGCTTTTGTTTGTTCAGCTATCGAATCTGACTACTCTGCAGAGCTTTAGCCCTAGCTTAAACAAACCTCAGCTGAAGATCTCAATAGACACCACCAAGCATAACTCGGCTAGCGTTAAGCGAGAAACAGTCAGCCTTATCATCACAACCATCACCATCTCTATTAAAGTATATACATACTGCAGCATCGTAGGAGATTCATGCCATGGTTTTTCGATGCTAAGCTTTCCAAGCAACCAAGTATGTAAGCTGCGGCCATGGCAAAAAACAAGAAACCCTAAACAAAGTAGCTACTTGCATCGATGATTCGATAAGGCTGAAATCGAAATAGAAACTTAGTTTCCGACACCATGGTGCGGAAAGAGCAATGAAAAAACGACCCCACTCCTATGTCTAACTTTGTTTCGCTCTGCTCTGCGCCATTTTGGTTCGTCGTTTTGAAGAGTCGCACTATGTGCCGTTAGCAACCCGATCCATAATCGCGCCAGCCAGGTTAGTTGCAGTAGTAGTAGCAGCAAGCAAGCAAACAAGCAAGTCCTTACAGACGCACGTTCCTTAAACAGTAGCCCTAACCCATGCGTTGGCAGCACGCAGTGGTAAGCACAGCTTGCCTGCTTACATATGCGCGTGCCAGCTGCACCCTAGCCTCTGGTGACTACATCTACGGTCTCTATAGCATATCGAGTGACATTCTATGAACCCCCATCGCAACAATTCAAGAGCGAGCGACGTTAAGTTTGAGCCTCACGGATCTAACCACCGAGACATCCTAACCCCCATGAAGTCTTATTTCATTTTAAGCCTCACCTTGACTCAGATCTCGTCCCCCTCCCCACTCACTCATAACTAACGAAAGGCCCACCAGCCCAGCTACGGGAGTAAGCGGGCCGCACCAAGGGGCTCAGGTTACATAATTCAATATATTGAATTTCGAGGTTCACCTCCTTTATTTTACCCCCCTTGCGGCCCGAGAGCAGAAAAGTCGACTTCAAGTCTTCAACGCCGATATTAACCCTTACACGGACCCCCCCGGAACCGACTCGGCAACCCCCGTTCAGGAATTAGCCCCGGAAGTCGACCGTTGACAGAGGTACAGATGTATGTAAATTGATCTCGATGGATTCGGCTATGTCTGTGGGTTCGTTTAATGGCGTAAGTGGCGAGTGAGGAAGAGAGGGTGATTCAGGGGAACTTTTTTTTTAGGCAGAAAGGAAGTGAGCGAGTGAGTTGGGGGAGAAACAAGAAGGTGTCTGCAGCAGCTAGTAAGTGAATCGCGAAGGGGGTTGCATCTGGGGCCTCGATTCAATGAGATTAATATTGCATGCTTTGTTTGCATGCCTGGGAGGTGGGTGCCCTACTTGTAATCTAAGGTGGGTGCTGATTCTTGGGCTCTTGGTCCCTAGCGGCTGTTAGGTCGTTATCAGATAAGGTGCAGAATCCTTGGGGGCGTTACAGATATATCCCTGTCGGTGATGTGCGGCGGTACCTGTACACGCTTACTGGGCGGTGCTTGACATTGTTAAACATCTATTTGCTTAGTCTTTAAGATAATGATACTGGTTACTTAGTAATGTAGAAACTGTCATTGAATACATGTGAAAGTTGTGATTATGTGTTGATCCTTACGAGTGATATATCGTGATTGATTCCCGAATTCTTTAGTTTTTGAATACGTTTATAGTGATATATTATAACTGGACAGAATAAAGGGTGTATCTACGAGACATGCTCTAAAGCGAGCTTTTAGCTTTTTATTGGGGATGAAATATGACTGGAAAACGGGGTAATCGTGGAGTACATTGATCCTCTATTCTGGGTTAATATAAATACCATATGCTGTCTCCGCCGAGGCCGCAGGATATGAGCTTTGATAATGCTTGGAGGATCTTAAAACCGTTTCCGTTACGAATGAAAGGTCATAGGCCGGCGGGATCGATGCTTGATCTCTACAATATATCTATTATGAAAGGTAGGAATTAAATTAGTCATATTCCAATCCGAAAAGCTAGCCAAATTTGAGAATCGGATTAAAGGCCCCATAAAAGCTATAATATATATTAGCGTGGGTTTTGGGTCTGCCAGGTTCTCAAGGTTCTCCCAAAAGGGGAATACGTTCGACAGTAATTGTAATCATAGAATATCACTCGGCATAATATTAGCCATTAAACTTTTTTTTTTTTTTTTAATTCATTAGCCATTAAACTCCACCTAATGTGTCTAGAATATAGAACGTATTAAAGAGTCCTCAATGTCACTATCTCAATGATAGCACTTAAGAGAACTCTTTCTGTATAGTTATCCCCAATAAAACAACGAGAAGTCATATTGACACTCGAACAATGGGCTAGCATCCCTTACCTAGTCTCTAACGAGCGTTGTAAATATCAACTTTCATTGTAGCACTTGAAATGAAAGCTTCTATAGAGAATGAAGAGACTAAGATAGAATCGATACTATTATAGTGTTAGTATTGGCTATTCAAGCCTCATTCAAGCCTCATTCAAAGGAACCAACTTGCAAGGTGGCTCTACGAGCTTGGGAAATGCATCAGGGACATGTGCTTTTCTTTTGTGTGGGTAATGTATAGTGGTTTAATACACCGTTAATGTGCCTTTGCGCCTGCCAAATGTATGCACGTAATGTCTAGGGAAATGCATCAGGAAATGCATCAGGATATCGGGTTTTTTGTAAGAGGAAATGCATCAGGAAAGTCGTCAGTAAAGTCGTAGTTAGGGAAAAATGATGCATTTACAATCCCTTTTCTCCTGTAAAAGGGATGGAAAGGGGATATAAAAGGGATCATAAAGGGATCATAAAGGGATCATAAAGGGATCATAAAGGGATCATAAAGGGATCATAAAGGGAATGTAAAGGGATATAAGGGGGTATGATTTCGATAAAATACATAATAAAAAACCTACCAATCGGTAATGATTTATAGCCACTATAACCTTGATGGGAATCGAACCTAAGCCCCCAAATTGATAATAGCCATCTTGACTGGTACGCTATCACTTCTGATGACAACTGATAGTTTTAGTCTACTTTCAATCTACCTATCTGATGGGAAAAGGGATGTAAAAGGGATATAAAAGGCATAATAAAGGGATAAAAAAGGGGTAATAAAGGGATAATAAAGGGATATAAAAGGGATCCTAAAACTTGTTTGGTAAAAGGCACGATTAATGGTTGAAAATGCATCTGGAAAATCGTCAGGGTGGTGAAAGGGATCTTAAAGGGATGTAAATGAATCAATTAAATACATCATTTGTGACATTTACAGAAGCCTTTGACTAAAATCACATTAACAAGCACATTTCCCGCGATGGTTTGTGTGGGTAATGTGCTTATTGATTCATTTCCCGGGGGTAGTAGAGTGGACCATGGAGCTTCTAAAGCTTCAAGGAATGTCCGCTCAACTCAAGCCAACTGACATAGAAAAGCCGTAAGGTAACATTCTTTTAGGTAGAGATATCTTAAGATAAGTATGTCTATCTTACGATTACGCATCGCTGGTACGCCTTATATGACTGGTACGCAGTACCCGCGAAGAAGTGGACTTAACATCAAGTTAGATACAACTGTAAAGGAACAAAAAGCATTGCAGCACTGTAGAGTATTTTTTACAGCGATCAACCCCAATTTATTGTATGCTCTACAGGATTCCCACCACCGGAATAAACCCATGGCCTACCGACGGCCGGCCATAGAACTCAAACAATCAGTGTTCCACTTTGACGGACTGCCTACCGCTAGACCAACCCGCCCACACATTTTTAATTCTTCGGAAGTGATATTCGAGGGGATCTATCACCATTACCTATACAGACCCGTCGATTAACTCTTTACACTCGCCATCTCCAGGCCTCAAAAGTTGGATATAATCCAAACATTGTGGCCAGGTTGCTGACTGTGAAGAACGCATTCTACCCATCGAATTCAGAAGAGATTGAAAGTACTTCTGAGACCCTATAATTGGGCACAGGAGATATGTATGTATGATCTTGTGCCTGATGGCGTAGAAGATTTGAGCTGCCCTACTTGAAGTTTCCTGGAAGAAAACAACCGCTGGCGATTAGATACTATCAGAAATAGTTCGGGAGAGATCCATGCGGTAGTTCTAGCTTCAATTATCGATAAAAATGCCATGGCACTTGAATCTCTAGTTTTAACGTGGCCTGGGGGATTAAGAGAAGTAAGATCAAATGGCAGCTAGATAGATGCGTCGGTCTGGGGATAGCTATGAGCGGCGCCTTTCGAGACTGGGGGATTGGTAGCGTGTTGAACGTCATAACGTCATGGAAACGGCAAGGTAACTGAGTTAGACAGCTTAGCGAATAGATTTCCAGAGGCACGTTGGCCTAAACTCACCTAGCTAAAACAAGTAGTATGGTAAAAACATTATACTCAGATTACCCCGCCGTATCTCATGATTATCTGTATTAAGCAAACATCGACAACCAAATCAAACAAACACCCAACCCATGAGGTAAATACATACGACAACATGACGCATCGCAAATTTGATGAAAACAGTACAGAAAAGTATATCATTACCCCCAGGAGTAAAACAAAGATTCACCACCTATTTACCCGTCACAAGGCGAAGTAAAAGAAAAAAAGAGAAAAAAAGGAAGAAAATATTAGAAAAAATGTAAGTGTCCCAGCACCTATGGTGAAAATTGATACGGTGGATTGCAGCACTGTAATGCGCTAGAAACCCCTCCAGAGGGGTTTAGTCAAACCTGGCAATCACTATCTTGTCTCCTACTCTCGTCTCTGATGGCATCCCTTTATCGATGGTCTCTGCCTCCTTTCCATATACCCAGTATCTCTTATCCCCATGATCCATCATGGTCAGAATCTTGTCCCGATGTTCTTCCATCCCTGGGAAGGGCAGATCCACACTGATGAAGGCCGAGGTATTGTTAACCACGGTCTCGCTTGAATTGGAACTAACACCGTCGATAGTATCCGTAGCAATGACACCAGTGGCGGCAATGCGGTTATTAGCACGATTGGCACGATGCTGGTAGATATAATCGGTCCATATTTTCCCGAAAAACCTGGATTTCTTCTTGGGAGATGGTGGAGGCGTAGGAGTGGTTGTGGGTACAGGTTTGGCAGTTTTGCGGATAGTAACCTTCCTCCCGACATCCAAGGTAACCTTGTACTTTGCCTTCATGTGGATTCCCGCGGGTATAAAATCTTTATCGTTCCTACCGGGATCTAGTGGGAATTCAACAGATTCGTGATGCGGTGTAAATACCGTTATACCGCTGTTATCAGGGTTATCTGGTTTGGGATCTCGCACGAGAGTTCCTTGTTCCATTGAACCGTATACTGCACACGCGGATTTGTTCTTGTTATCACTGTCTTTTACCCAAAACAGTGACTGCATCACCCCAATCTCGTTGTTTGCCATCATGCAGTCGAAATCAACTGTACGTGGGATAGTGCTCAACTCTGTCATGAACGCTTCACGCCTCCGGTATCTTGTGTAATATGTGGGACTCGGGTATAGTTCCTCGAAATCAACCTTACCCTCTGCATTTTTGTAGAGGGAAATGGAATCAAGGTCAATTTCGCTTTCTGGGTCAATATCCCATTCTTTCCCTGAACGCCATTCAGTGATTGTGGATGGCTTATGAGGAGAAGCTCGAGCAGTGATGTCCCAGGTTACCATGCTAACTTGTTCGTCTGGCTCCGTGATGCCCGGGATATATAAATCCCCCGTCATGCGAATCCTTACAACATCCTCATCGGGGTCCCTTACAAAAGATCCTGATGGCACCATCTTTGGTCCTTTCAATTCCTTGGCTGTGGTTCCTGAATCAAAATTGATCCAAAATGATGAATTTAGTGTGCTGCCGTTCAGCTCACCGGCGTGACGACCAAGACTGCGCAAAGTAATGCGTTTAATGACAGTGCATGGTGACCATGATTTGGTGGAAGGATCATATTGTGGGACTGCATGTACCTCCACCACAGGTCGTCGTTCAGCACTTGGTGGCAGGAATCCCAGGTAAAAAGCTTTCCCACAAGTATCCGCTGCAATTGAAAAGGTGCTTAGTGGCGGATAAAGTGACTTTTTCTTGATGGTAAAATGGTGTCCATCGTGTTTCCCATCTCCTTTCAAAGTATCTTTAATCTTTTGGGGGGGATGATCCGCAGTTGGGTAGATATACCCTTCCAACCTCTGTTCTACCAAATCGAACTCTGCTAACGCATAAAATTCGTTTACAGCGACCATCCAGATGAACGAGTCGCGTTCAAACCAAGATGCTATCAACCTTCCACGATCTTCCTTTTTTGTTGAAAAAACAGCACAAGCTGAGTGGGGATGTTCAAAGAATTGACGTGGCGGAATGGTTGTGCGAGGAGGAGGATTTCTATCAAAAGGTCAGTATATCTCAGTAGAAAGGCCAATGATAGTAATTTGTAGGATCACGCGGAAACACATACGTCCAATTCCAAATTGAGGAAAATATTGATGGACTCTTTCCAGATGGGCCTTGGAACCCTTCATTTCTCGACGGATGAATATGAGCTTCACCAACACATAATAGCATCCCTCGGTTCGCTGCTATTCGTACACTCTCGCCGTCTTTTAAAAATATGCCCTCGTTGCGTGTGCCCATGCATGGGCTGGCTAACTTCTCAAGGTCAATTATAACGTCTGTGCTGTCGTCGGTACATTGTAAGTCCTTAAGGACTACTATCGCACGAGCTCTTAGGAATAATAAACGTAAGAACCATGGCCAGTATTTATCCGAAAACAGATAAGAGAAAAGGATAAAGCAATACCGTTGATAGGCTAACAAGCTATTCTCAGTATCCACTAGAAACCCGTTCGATAAACTCGCAGACCCATCTGCGACCTCGTTGATAATCGTTACATTAGACGGGCGACCTTCTTTCCATCTTTGAGATCTCTCATAGGCATAATCAAAGTCATATCTGGTACGCTGTGCCTTTTTTGACTCGCTCGATAGCGGGAAAAATAACTTGTGGGCGAAGTGAGAGATATCCTGTGATGCAAAGTATCGGTAAAAATCTCTCGATGTATGGCGCAGGGCCATAAAGTCATGCGACGACAACAGTTCTAATATTAGTCTGTTGATTTCAGGGGGAATCGTTATCAACGAATGTTTTTCTGCCATTTCAATCTTGACAATAGACTGCGACGAAACTTTGGTAGGAGTATCAGCGAAATTGTGGCCTTGTGGATGAGAGAAAGGTACCGAATTAAAGGAAAAGATGGATGAGAAGGATAAGGAGGGAAGTAGAGGGGAGTTAGAAGGCAGACGGGGCGGGGTTCTGCACTAGAAAGTGACTCTCTTACAATGAAAAGGTCAGACAGGAGCTGTATGGACTCACGAGCTCAGGTACAGTTACACACTGCCCTGTTTCTGCAGCTTAGTTGTCTGTGTGTGCGGCTGAGCTTCTTAAGCAAAAGCCAAGCCCGAGCAACCTGTCTTGATGGGTAGCAAGAAGACGCAAACTCTCAAATGCAGATGATCTTCACAAGGATCGAACAGATGCAAGGGACCGTGGGTAATGTCCAAGTTTGGAGCTCTTGAGATTCTGAATCCCCAATGTGGTCACAGTTTCCCACTACAAGCGGATCTTAGATCCACTAGATCCACTAATGATTATTGAGAGTTGTAGTTTTACTCTATAGATTAGGAGATATCACCTAGACAGCCCCGGGAGGGTTGACGTGATGGGTTAAAGTAGCATATATCAAGCCGCGACCTTAATTATTTCAGGATATAGGTATACGTCACTATACTTACTTGAGGTATGGTAAGTCCAAATAATGCAATCGTTAATTTTTGATCTGGGCATAAAATTCACTCTTACTATACAGATTTGGGACTCAGTACTATAGGATGGAAGCCGTAGCTTTAATAAGAGACGAATTACTTACAGCATTTCTATTCCGGGTAATGGAATATCAAACAATTAGAGCTGCTTCCCCCTGAAATCTCCACAATTGTCATGTGCGGTATTATGCAAGCCCTCGTTCAAGTTCGCACATTTCTGCAAGACCTAAGATATATTTATATTGTAACAGGCCAATGACCTGTCTTACCGGTTGTGAGCTCAGTAGCAATTCTTGGCACGTCTCTCCGAAATAAGCTTTTTGGCCTGTGTCCTAACGTCTCGGGCACGTGGTTTCTTAGACTAAAACTTGATGACTGACACCTGTTCCTACCAGTAGCCACATTTGATATCACCGTATTCCCCGTGCTTCATGTAGACCGGTAGGTCGAAGATGGAGGAACGCTGAACTGGTAATTACTATCAGTACTAGTACTTTACAACTATTCGGCATACCCCATCTTTAGCATAACCCCATATACGCGAGTTTATGAGGAAGAAAGCCTCAAGATTTTAATCGTGACTCATGGAATTTTTTCTACGCAGCATTTCCCACCGATGACTCAAACGCTAGGGGTCAATGTCTCATCAGTTGAAACCGCGAGACGTCATTAATATGAAGAACTGATACAGCCATGTACCTAGTAGAATGACTGCAAAAGAAACCAAAGCTGTTCATGATCAACGCTCGCGCGTGTGTGTGTAAGTACTCTCAAAGTAAACCCCTTAATATCCTCGGAACTCGGCCACGCTATCTGGCCTCCAGGGTCCTATCGTAGTCCCTGAACCATTATCTCAGGGTCCAATATGCAATGTTTGTGTCGCCAAGAGGCTGACGTGTTAGAGGTAGATTCCAGGTACGGTGAGATTGAGGCGATGTTTGCGAGGAGTTCAATACATGCATGCACCTTAATTCACCGGTTAGTAGGCTGTCAATGTCATAGATGTCAACAGGTTAGGCCGTGATCAATAATTCGAAGGTGTAGATCTAGATATGTGAGGGTTGTGAGTTATAAATAAAGGAGGCTGACATGCACGTATATTATGGAATTTTCACGTACAAATTTGGCGAAAATTTATTCTCGCTGCAAGTATGTATCGGGCAAAAATCATACTAACCCAAGGTTACTATGAAGTACTTAATCGCGCTGCCACAAAACGTGACATTCCTCAATTTCACAGTCAACGGCTCGGAGACATCAAGGTTTATACATGTATGTTTGTACATTTGAGAAAGTCATGTATGTACCTATATACTAAGGGCGGCCAACCAGGCTCAAACCTTAAAGTTAGATGTATATGTAGTCTTTCAATTTCCGAACAGAGACTATTGCGCACAAAAGTCGGATCTGGATTGATATATTCCAGTTAAGATCTACGTCATGTAACTCTGCAGCTACAATTCCATACGAGTTTTAGGCACTACTTCTTGGTGGTTTTAGATATATGCCGGAACTTGGATACAAGATTTTGTCCGAATAGATCTATACTCTAGATCAAGAAGATAAATGTCTACGTTGAATTGTTAATCTCTCCAAAAATAACAAATGAAATGGTAGCTTAAGGTGTAGTGGTCCATGTCCTGTCGTATGAAATAGGAAGATCTAGAAGACACCATCCGGATGAAATTCTCGCGCGCATAGTTTCCGAGGAGGAGTGGAATTACATGTAGCTATGTATCATCGGGGACTCGCTTATCAGTTGAGGATCGGCCATTCAGGTTCACGCGGATGACACATGCAAGGGACCGTGAGGCTACTTGATGTTTAACATGCAGGGTTTAAGTACACACATAGGAAGTATCTTGTGAACTGTCTTGTATCTTACTTGATATGGTTCTCCACAAGCCCTCTTCATCCTTTGTATCCTCTGTGCTTTACCCATTCATCTACCTGCTCCCTTGAACTCGCTGTGTGTCCTCTCGTCATGCCTTCTGTAATTCAGTCTATGAAATACAACTGGAGAACCCTCTTCAATGACCCTTTTGGAGAGATTGCTGGGTCGTTGGGTGATTTGGGTACTCTCATTCCTGTGATGACAGCTCTTGCAGCGTCTGGAAGCATCTCTTTAACATCCACATTGCTATTCTCTGGGATTTCCAACATCGTCAGCGGTGCCTTTTTTGGAATACCGCTAGTGGTCTGATACCTATCTCTAGAAAGAATTTGCATACGATAAATCTATTATTAACTGAAGATCTAACTATACCAGGTTCAACCTATGAGCGCGATAGCATCGATCTCGCTCTCTCGTTATTTTACACGCGAAGAGACTATGGCAGCTGGACTTGGTGTAGCTACTGTTGTTCTCTTGCTTTCCATTACAGGCGGACTCAGCAGGGTGTCCAGAACAATCCCTACGCCTATAATAAAAGGGATTCAAGTTGGTGCAGGGCTTTCGCTTTGCTTAAATGCAGGATCCCTATTGTCAGGACTGGATTATGATTCCAATCAGTGGGACGACAACCTTTTATGGACCGCAGGTGCATTTGTGCTCCTATATGGAACTTCACGGATGCCTCGGTTCCCCGTAGCCCTAGTCCTCTTCTTTGTGGGTATTATACTCGCTCTCATTAAGCTCATCTCAGATGAAGGAAAACTACCCGAGTTTGGGATGTGGTGGCCCTTCATACCAATTATACCACGGCCACAAGATTTTACATATGGATTCGGAGCCGCTGGGGTTGGGCAAATTCCGTTGACCATTTTGAACTCTATCATTGCGGTCAAATATCTGAGTGAAGATTTACTGCCGAATCGGCCGGCACCTTCAGTTACAGGTTTGGGTGTTTCGGTCGGTCTAATGAATCTTACTGGGTGTTGGTTTGGGGCCATGCCTGTCTGCCATGGTGAATACCTCCGATGGTGTAATGCTTGCGTTCTATCAACTGACTTGTTGTCAATCAGGGTCTGGTGGCTTAGCAGCTCAGCATAGATTTGGGGCTCGTTCTGGAGCAAGTGTCATAGTCCTTGGCCTATTTAAGATAGGTTTTGGCCTTATGTTCGGGAACTCGTTAACTGAACTGCTCCAAAAGTTTCCCAAATGTATTCTGGGAGTCATGGTATTCACCTAATCCGATTTCTATTTCAATCAGCGAGATCAACTAAATAATGCCTAGGTATTTGCTGCGGGAATGGAACTTGTCTCGGTCGCTGAGAACCTGAATATATCCGCCAGAGATTTAATAACCCATGCTCCAAGTGCTTCCATAACGCCATCAGCAACAACCGCGCCATCCTCCACAATATCATCCTGGAGAGGATTAACGGAACGAGACAAGAAAGAAAGGTTTTTAGTTATGACAGTTACTGCTGCTGCAATGATTGCACTCCAAAACGCATTAGTTGGCTTCGCGGCAGGTTTTCTAGTCTGGGCTTTGATCAGGTTGCAGGATAAAGTTGAAGATTTAAGACCAAGTCGAATCGGGAGCATGATGGATGAAAACACGCCACTTTTGAGGAATTGACTAGTCGTCATTTTTAACTATTCGCGAGGGATAGTCAGGGACAATGTGGATGGGGTAGGTTACGACCACTAGGCCAAGGCCTCTTTTTAAGAGATGCCACTTCCTAACCCTGAAATTCATGTTAGCATTAGTGAGTCTGGCATTGGTAATGATTGTTCCGCAGCCAATCATTAACACTTTAATAAATTATATGTTTAGATAATTTGAGAATCTCCCGGATTGGTCGATAGAATGAAGAGTGCAAAGAAAGCTCGTAAATAATAGATCCTATGATAATCACATGCATGTTTTTGAATTTGTGGTGTTTGTCACGTGGGTGGCGAAGGGCGGGGTGTTGCTAGAGCAACGGACAGGGGTTTTGTAAACATTCACCTCATTTTCTGCAGCTGAATCACCACGTCCTTCCAGACAATTTAGGCTCGAAAAATCACACTTGACCACTTACACCTATCTATATCAGCTCTCAACAGAACCAATCGCCCGATAATAAAACCTCCTCAACCAATCTGTATCGTTTTCTAAAGTAATGTCAGCAGAGAAACCAACTAAGAAGTCTGGCGGCAAGTCGAAGGATAAGGATGCAGAGAAGACGCATAAGCTTTCGCTGAAAGGTAGCTATCCTCGCCTCCATCATTTTTATACCAGGTAAGGTTCTGACTGGTGTTTCTGGCTATAGGTTCAGCAAAGATGGTTGCGGAATTCGTAAGCACTCACTTTTATGCTGCTATTCAAGAGCTCCAAAGTACTGACAGAGTCATAGTTTGAATCCTCGATTCATTCAATCTTGTACCAGCGCGGCGTATATCCTACGGAGGACTTTACAGTGTACGTTTCTTCTTGTTCCTTACCGATAATACGGCACTGATTAATAACTGTACAGAGTCAAGAAATATGGATTAAACATGCTCTGTAAGAACCTACTAGCTCCATCCACAACTGCTGGGCTCCACTGACAAACTGAAAGTCTCCTCCGATGACCAGGTCAAAGCTTACATTAAAAAGATGATGAGTCAGCTAAATAAGTGGACCCTCGCCGGGAAGGTCTCGAAGCTAGTGGTCGTTATAACATCAAAAGACACCGGCGAACACCTTGAGAGGTGGCAGTTTGACGTGCAGCTTATGGGAAAGGCGGCGAAAGCCAAGGGGGGAGCTCCAGAGATTGATCAAGAGAACCCCGAGCCTAGGTATGTCACTATTTCACTTAACTATCGTGTTCAATTGAGTGCTGACTACATTGGAAAAGCAACCCCCGACCACCGCCGAAAGAGAAAACGGAAAAGGAAATCCAGGAGGAAATCAGATCGCTATTCCGCCAAATTACAGCATCGGTTACGTTCCTGCCTATGTTGGATGGAAGGTGCACGTTCAATGTGCTTGTGTATGCAGATGGGGATGCGGAGGTGCCCATGGATTGGGGTGATTCAGACGCGAAGGAGATTGAAGGTGGTGAGAAGGTTACCCTAAGGAGTTGGGGTACGGCGAACCATAGGGTGGACACGCTTGTTAGTTACAAATTGCAGGACTGACTGGAGTGTTTCTTTTTGTTTTCTTTATTGGTCCCTGGATTTTATTTTTATTTTTTACTCCTTTTATTATGGGATTTCGGACGGGGTTCAATGGCGAAATTTATTACGGTAGGAAGACAGGCGATCATAAAACAGGATACCTATCGCCGGGATGGACTCGGGATGGAGAGGAATAAGGTGCCATAGCCGTTGCAGGTTTATGATAGTTATTTGCACTTGGGATATATACTCAATTTCAAGATCACTAGAGGGTTAATTGCAAAGTGCCTATGTGTTATCTCTGTACCATGTAAACCCCGCTGAGTCCTACGAGTGACCACTGATGACCCAAAAAGCACACACAATTTCGTGCATATCATCCCTGAAATAGAGCACTCGTATTCTCGGAATGGGTGTGGGCCAAGGGATAAGTGCCTTCCTATAGAAGTCACTCTCGCTTGTTACAAATTATTTCTTTTGATTTTACTTACCCCCGACGATTAGGGCGTGAAGCGATTCCAAGAGCTGATTTGTTAAGATCAACACGTGCTACGGGTGTATTTACCCTACCCCCGCACACACGTTGCAGGCCTGAGTTCTTCCTAGCTTCGTTTCTATCGATAACAACTTTAACGGAAATCGAAAATCGACATCCATATCCCACATCTCCACTATCATATACCGCACCCGGACCGAAGCGAGAATTGAGCTTAGGCAATTGTCAATTCATTCCAATTTCCTAGCCTGGCTAGCTAGGTAACCTTTTGTTTTGGAGGGAAAAGGGAAAAAAAGAAATAGATTGCCTGTTACAAATCTACTCTAATTCAAATATATATATATTTAATATTGTAGCTTGCCCATCATGTCCGTACCCTTCCTCTCCTCCATACGACACCGAAGGATCGTCGCGATAATGGTTTTGTTTAGTTTTCTTGTATTTGGTCTCTTTGCTCTGATGGAAAGTGCAACTGCTGGTGCTGGCGTGGTTGTGAGTGGAAAGACGAAAGAGGCAAAGGAAATGAAGGGAGTCAAGGTGGCAAAGGAGGCAAAGGTTCCGGAGATGAAGGAAGCGAAAGAGGCGAAGGCCGTGGTGAAGGTCAATGTTCCGGGCTTTTTTATGCAGGACTTGGAGAGCACGAATAGTGCTACTTTTGATTATGTAGGTGTCTTTTTTGCTATTTATTTCCCGTTTTCTAGGATCGAGGCTAACTCAAGTGAAGGTTGCGAGCAATTTCGGGCTACTTGATACCTTTGATGTCCCTTCCATTGATTCACGGGACTTGGAAAAAAGGGACCATGACGATGATGACGATAATGACGATGATGACGATAATGACGATGATGACGATAATGACGATAATAACGATGATAAGGATGAGGACGACGACGACGATAAGGATAAGGATGATGCCGATGACGAGGAAGAGGAATCTACGAAGAAGGCGCCATGGAAAGAGTTTAAGAAAGCTATTAAAAAGTTGAATAAGAAAGCTCCAAAGGGTACAGCCTATAAGGTTTTGTACCTGGCGAGACATGGACAGGGTTATCATGTGAGTTCTTTTATCATTTTCTTGATCAATTGATTATTTAATATGCTAACAATTGATTGTAGAATGTTGCAGGTGTGTATAAATTACATGTATTATTGTGAGAAGGTAGCAAACATGCTGACATGAATCTGACATGAAGAATCGTTTTACGGCACAGAACAATGGGACGCACGTTTATCCCTCCCTCAATTGTATCTTACATTCATCTACTGACACTTTCTCCAGTGCTACTGGTCACTCCAGGACGGAAATGAAACTAGTAGATGGGACGACGCAGAACTCACGAATATTGGGATTGCAGAGGCCCAGAAGGCAAGCATTGCGTTCAAAGACCAGATCAAAGCCGGGTTTCCTATCCCCGAGATTTACTATTCTTCTCCCATGAGGTAGATATGGACAATGCTTTGGCGGGTGAATATTGCTGATGAACATGGCATGGTAGTCGTGCGGCTAGTACCCTCGATATCACCTGGAGAGACATAATACTCAACAAAGATAGCACTCCCGCTCCCATCTTCAAAGAGGTTTTCCACTTTATTCTTACTCATGAATTCTCTGGATGACTGATGGCTGTATAGAAATGCCGTGAAACACTTGGAATCCACACCTGTGACCGCCGTAACACAAAGAGCTATCTTCACACCAAATATCCCAAGTTCGTGTTTGAGAACGGATTCGCCGAGACCGATGAACTCTGGGACCCGGTCTATAGGGAGCCCAATGATGTACGAAATATCCGTTTGGGCAAGGCACTGGACGAGATCTTTGCAGAGAGAAGGGAGGAGACGTTTATCAGCATTACTGCGCATGGTGGTGCTATTACCAGGTGAGCCCTTCCGTTCGCGGGCTCCTTATCGGAGATATTGGAGCTGATGTGAAGCGTAGTATTCTGGAGGTGATCGGACATAGAAAGTTCGGATTGCAAACTGGAGGTGTTATTCCTGTTGTTGTGAAGGTCGAGTACGATGCTACTCCGACGCCTACCACGAGTCTGGGCCCTTCAGGGACTGCACCGGCTTGTGCCGTGGACCCTACCACAACGTCATTGACTTTGAATTAGAGTGGTCTTTGAAGCTGAGAGGGAGGATTTGTAAGGGTGCATGTACATGTGTGAGAATAAATACCCGAATGCCGTCATCCGTTTATGTGTTTCGCAAATTTATATGTAGAAAATTTTAAAAATTTGATTTATGAGTCTTTCTCTCTCCCACCAACTGAGGCTGGGCTGGGCTGGACAACACTGGGCTGTGGCACCTTCGGTTGTTCGTGGAAGGCTGTGGAATGCGTTAGCTCCGCCCTCCCCCAGATCCATACAAAAGATTGCCAAGATGTCCTCGCCTCCCACCACTCGGCTGACTGTACATGACTCCTCGCAGTCTCTTTATCTGGCCCATTCACCCAGCTTAAATTCCTGTTCCTGATCTTCTCATTTCATTTCGCATCCATACCTCCCAAGACTCAGTCGCTATTACAAAGTCGAACGAACCTTCGTTTTTAAAACATCTACATACTACTAAACGCTCCGAAAGCTATATATCATGTCTGACGATTGGGATTCTGCCACTGTCATCGGCGCTAAGGCTCGTGGAAACGCCAACAGGACCACCGTTGCGAAAACCAACGCTGAGATCAACGCTGCGAGACGAAGTGGTACCGTTGTTGCTACCGAGAAGAAGGTACTTAATTTTTTGTATATATCCCGCTGTGAATAATGCTAACATAGTTGTTACAGTACGCCGGTGGTTCCAACAAGGTTCAGTCTACAGAAGGCCAAAGGCTCACCAAGATCGACCGTGAGAATGAGGTTGCCCCTCCACCAAAGGTCGATTTGAGCGTCGGAAAGGCCATGGCTCAAGCTCGCCAGGGCAAGGAGCCCCCGATGTCGCAAAAGGTATGTGGCGATAGCTACGCGGTTGTATCTCTTTCGTAGACAAGGTATTGACGTGTGTGGATAGGATCTTGCCACCAAGGTCAACGAGAAGCCTTCGGTTATCAACGATTACGAGTCCGGTCGTGCTGTCCCCAACCAGCTGCTTCTAGGTAAGCTAGAGCGTGCTTTGGGCGTCAAGCTAAGAGGGAAAGATATTGGTTCCCCTATCGGGGGGCCTAAGAAGAAGTGATCTATCTTATCGCTTCTTCTTCTTGATATTTTCTTTCCTTCTATGGTTTCTTTAGCGGGTCGGGGTAAATGGGTTGTGCTTGGTACGCATAGATTCTATCAGTAGGAAGAATCGGAACGGGATAGGGAAATGCTGGCATGTTCTTGTCTGCTTTTTTTGTTGGGGTTTGATGTCTTCAAATGATCGCACCAAATGTTCAGGATAGAAAACGAATAAGCGGGTGCTAGTAATGCCCCAAGGGTCGTTCCTCCTGATATTAGTTTCTTTGGTTTCTTCTGGTTCTGTCTTCGTCGTGTGGAGAGTATTCACACTGGTATAGACCGTTTGTTATATTCAATATCATTCAAGACCTGCAAACTTTGAGTACTCAGAAGGGAGCTTCAATTAAGATTTTAGAGTGAACACAATTTCCCCAGCTTTTCGCCCACCTCTCTAGCTCCATTGTCGGGGTTCTAGAAAGACAAGTGTTTCGATCAGGACCATTCATGCGTGCCCAGCTATGAAAATCCCGGTTGAATGTCCCCCTTACTATGTTCCCTAGGTTTTTGCACCCCGCAAAGGAGGCAAGTGATCACTCGGTGCAAGAGCTATGAATCGAGTGATTTGGCTAGGTACATGTAGGTAGATGATAGTTGACAGCAGCTAACTGGACTAACCTGAGCTTAGAGTGGATCCTGCGTCACGGCTTTGTCGAGTACATATCCGTAGTGTTTGTCCGAAAACCCGGAATTCTTCTGCCTAATGCCAGATTTCTAGGCACAAACTTTGTAGGTAATGAAATTGAGCTTCTCCCAGGTATATACACGCAATTTTTCAGCATCACTATCTCTGCTTTTGTAAAATAGAGTAGTACCTACGGGGGACTCGAAATGCCATCCGAAGAGTTTTTCCGAAGAACCCGGTTCTTGATTAAAGGACAAGAGACTTGACTGCAATTGAACAAGTGGGCCCTCTACGGTCATTTGTCCGTGGGGGATTTTTTCATCTTTGTCAAACTTTTCTGGGTGTGTATCGGTATTATTAAGTTAGTCCCCGTCAAGGCTAGGGTGGCCTTTTATTGCAGTCGTTTAAATTTTGTCGTTCCCGCGTCTCTTTTTTTCTCGGTCCTACGAAAGTGTTGTTATCAGATTCTGCTCCCACCTCACACAAAGATCTTTTTTCTTTATCAGATTCAACATCGAAGGAAAAAGGGCATAACGCAGATCCACACGCACCCATAAGCAGGCATCCGCTGATCCGCCGACCCCACGCACCCCATTCGCCAGTGCCCCACGTTCGCATTTGACCCCTCTTTTTTTTCCCGAAAAAAAAGAACTACCGCCAACTTGGCTTCCTCTACATTCTTCAGAGCAGCGGCCGTTCGTTGCGGGAACGGAAGGTTAAAATTGCTCTGTGCTTCGGCTAGACTACCGCAAACAAATTCAAGACTTTTCTCTACAACACGATTCGATATGGTTGCTGAGAAGATTGACGGAACGTTGGTCGCGAAGAGGATCAGGGAGAGTATTAACCAGGAGATTAAGAAGAAGCAGGAAACCTCAAGCAGGTTTAAGCCTAGTTTGACGATTGTTCAAGGTGAGTGATTGGTGGAGGGGGAATGTGGGGTTTATTGAATAATAGATATGAATGGCCACTGACTTTCTTGTTTACAGTGGGCGACAGATCCGACTCTAGTAATAAACCCTTGAGATATCGATTTTGATAAATGAAACAAAACCTCTAACAGTTTTTCGAGACTTGCAGGCACCTATGTTCGCATGAAGCTGAAGGCCGCCGAAGAGGTTTGTACTTCGTTATTTTCATCGTAAAGTGACCTCACTCTGACTCATAATCTAGGCCAATATCACCTGTGACCTCGTCAAGCTTGATGCCGAAATTACTGAGGCTCAATTGCTTGAGAAGATCGAGCAGCTCAACAATGACCCTTCAATTCACGGTATCCTCGTTCAGCTGCCTGTTCCTAAGCACATTTCGGAGCCGGCTGTGACTGCTGCAGTTTCCCCAGCAAAGGATGTAGATGGTTTCGGAGCGATTAACATCGGTGAACTTGCTAAGCGTGGTGGAAACCCACCTTTCGTCCCATGTACCCCCCAGGGTGTCATGGTTCTTCTCAAGGAGTACGGTGTTGACATTTCCGGGAAACATGCCGTTGTTCTTGGACGTAGTGACATTGTCGGGTCCCCCGTTTCATACCTCTTGAAGAACGCTGATGCTACCGTCACTGTTTGTCACTCGCGCACCAGGAATATTCAGGATTTTGTCAAGCAGGCTGATATCCTTATTGCTGCCATTGGTCAACCTCAATTCGTCAAGGGCGATTGGCTAAAGCCAGGCGCCGTCGTTATCGATGTTGGTACTAACTACATCAAGGATGCGACTCGCAAGTCTGGTGAACGTCTCGTCGGAGATGTCGACTATGAGTCTGCAAAGGAAGTTGCATCCAAGATCACCCCTGTCCCTGGCGGTGTTGGGCCAATGACCGTTGCCATGCTTCTGCAGAACGTCATCACTTCCGCAAACCGTTTCTACGCAGAAAACTCTGACAGGAAGACTACACCATTGCCATTGAAGCTTCTTAGCCCCGTCCCTAGCGATATTGCTGTATCCAGGGCCCAGGTGCCAAAAAACATCAAAATCATTGCACATGAGCTCGGAATCTCGGACCAGGAGCTTGAACTATTCGGCGCTTACAAGGCCAAGGTCAACTTGGATCTTCTTCAGCGATTGGGTCACCGCAGGAATGGAAAGTACATTCTCGTTGCCGGTATCACTCCCACTCCTCTCGGAGAGGGCAAGTCTACTACCACCATGGGGTTGACCCAGGCTCTCGGTGCTCACTTGGGAAGGATTGCTTTCGCCAACGTCAGGCAACCCAGTCAAGGACCTACGTTCGGTATCAAGGGTGGTGCTGCTGGTGGAGGATACTCTCAGGTCATTCCTATGGACGAGTTCAACATGCACTTGACTGGTGATATTCACGCCATCACCGCTGCAAACAACTTGCTTGGTAAGATAAACATTGACTCTCATTCTTATATCGGATGCTGATAACTTCCAGCTGCTGCTATTGAGACCAGGATGTTCCACGAGAACACTCAGAAGGACAAGGCCTTGTTCAACCGTCTCGTTCCCAAAAAGAACGGCGTCCGCACATTTGCCCCCGTCATGTTCCGTCGTCTTAAGAAGCTTGGAATTGACAAGACCAACCCGGACGACTTGACCCCCGAGGAAGTCACCAAGTTCGCAAGACTCGATATTGACCCAGAAACAATCACATGGCGTAGAGTCTTGGATGTCAACGATCGCCATTTGCGGCAAGTTACCATTGGCCAGGCACCATCGGAGAAGGGACACACTCGTGTTACTGGATTCGATATCTCAGTTGCTTCCGAGTGTATGGCTGTTTTGGCCCTATCGAATGACTTGCCGGACATGCGTGAACGGTAATGATTACAGATATCTGAAGATTGAGTTTAGAGCTAATTTCTTTTTGTGAACAGTCTTGGACGCATGGTTATTGGAACAAGCAGGTCTGGAGACCCAGTCACTTGCGACGATATTGGTGCCGGTGGAGCCTTGACTGCACTCATGAAGGATGCCATCAAGCCTAACCTTATGCAAACTCTTGAGGGAACCCCGGTCTTTGTCCACGCTGGTCCTTTCGCCAACATCTCTATCGGAGCTTCCTCCGTCATTGCCGACAGACTTGCCCTCAAGCTTGCCGGTACTGAAGAGGATGAGGTTCACGAGGATAAGGTTGGTTACGTCGTCACGGAGGCTGGCTTCGACTTCACCATGGGTGGAGAGCGCTTCTTCAATATCAAGTGCAGGTCCAGTGGTCTCACCCCAGATGTTGTTGTTATCGTTGCTACTGTCCGTGCTCTTAAGGTTCACGGTGGGGGGCCTGAAGTCACTGCTGGCGCACCCCTTCCTGAGGAATACCGCACTGAGAACGTCGAGTTGCTCCGCAAGGGCTGTATCAACTTGGCTAAGCACATCGCCAACGCCAAATATTACGGCATTCCCGTCGTCGTTGCCATCAACAAGTTCCACACGGATACTGATGCAGAAATCCAGTGCATTCGTGAGGAGGCTATCAAGGCTGGCGCTGAAGATGCTGTCCCAGCTAACCACTGGGCCGAGGGTGGAAAGGGAGCTGTTGACTTGGCCAAGGCGGTTATTGAATCCTCCTCCAAGCCCAAGAACTTTAGACTCTTGTACAGCACCGAGATGTCCATCGTTGAGAAGATGGAGGCTATTGCCAAAGAGATGTACGGTGGAAACGGTGTCGAGCTTAGCGAGCTTGCAAAGCAGCAGTGCGAAACCTACACCAGACAGGGCTTTGGACACTTGCCCGTTTGCATTGCTAAGGTTCGTTTCCCCACCCTTTCTTCCCGTAGAACTATTATTAACTAAGCTCGGTAAACATTAGACCCAATACTCGCTTTCTCACGACCCACTCCTGAAGGGTGCGCCCACTGGCTTTACCGTGCCAATTCGCGATGTGCGGTTGTCGCCGGGTGCGGGTTATCTGTATGCGAAGGCAGCGGATATCCAGACTATTCCTGGTCTGCCAACCGCTCCGGGATATCTCAATGTCGATGTTAATGCGGAGACTGGTGAGATTGAGGGATTGTTTTAGGGAGGTTGTTGTGGGGTAGGAGTAAAGTTTAGCCGCGGGCCGGGTGGGAACGAGGTTGTTCCGATTTCTTTTGTTTTTTGTTTTTTTTATTTGCGGAGGAACGGGGTTGCAATTTCAACAATTGGTACAGGCGCATTTTGGGGGAAAATTTCAACACAGTACAAAAATTCAAGTCTTAGTAAACAAATTCTGTATGGCAGCAGTAGATGATCACGATGAATATCATGTTGTTGCAAAGAAGAATGTTATCGAGATTCGACATAGCGAAAGGATAACCGAAAACCAAACGCTTACTCTGCGGTATGACGTTAGACCCGTTGACCCGAAGGAATAACCCCACCATCCGAGTGAGAAAACTTCATTTGGGGGTAACCCCCACCATTTTGCTCCGTCGCTCGCTGTAAGGGAGGCTCGCGGGGTCCTATCAATAATACCAATCCTTTTTGGTAAATCCCGCTCCAGGGAAAGCGGGAAACAACAGAAAGGGAGAGCGATGGAGGTGAAGGGGGAAAAAAAAAAAATTGAAAAAAAAAAAAAATTTACTCGCACTGTGTGTGGTGTGACTCTAACATCCATCAAATAATTGCCAATTGCCCACCTGCCCTGCCTTTTACTACCCCCCCCACTGAACACATCTGAAGTGCTGAGATCGAGAGAACCTAGCACACGGAACGCTCCTGCTTTTTGCTTAATTCCCTCTTTCCCTTCCCTTCTACGGTGTACCTCTCTTTTTTATCTCCGATATATACCGACTTTGTTCCTCGGCAATGAGTTTCGTTCGCCCCTCCTCCTCCCGGTTGTTGTCGCTGCGGGGCCGGTCATCATCAACTGCATCCTTCTCGTGCGCTGCTGCTAGACCTTTCACATCAGCATCATTGTCGTTGAAGTCGCGGATTTATTCTCCTTCTACTACTCGCACTCCCACCGCTGCAACTACTCCTTCTTCGTCAAGCTTCAACTACTCAAACAAAAGATTCTTCTCCGTCAGTATGGCTCGTGAATGTGAGTGTGCTTGCTCTCTTTTATTTTGATAATTTATCCTTGTCTCTTGTTTGTTGTGTGTGTGTGACTTTTTGGGGGAAGCATGTATGGAAGGATGGACTAAGGGAGGAAGTTGGATGTAATGGATGCGTGATAAGATGAGGATGGCATGGCATGCACGGGTGCTAAGTGTGGTGGTGATGTAGTCCAGAAGATCAAGGTCAAGAACCCAATTGTTGGTATGTATCCTATTCGCCCAGGAACGGAGCAAGAGCGAAGGAGTGGGAAAGAGAGAAAGGGAAAGAAAGAAGGGGGTGTATATGCGGTTCAAGAGGGAATCTCTGACGTTATGTAGAATTGGATGGAGATGAGATGACCCGGATCATCTGGGACATGATCAAGCAGAAGGTATGTTTGGTCCATCATTTGCTGCAACTGGCCCAACTGCAGCTCGCCGCTTATTTCAACGTCCCCTCATCAACTTCCTCGGCATGTGAATGCAAAGATAAACAAAAAGACTGACTCATATTCGTGTGATACCATAGTTCATCCACCCGTGCGTAAACTGATTTTTCTTTCATTATCTTGATGTGCTCAATGCCTCGGTAGAGTTTCGGTTGTTGACGATAACATAGATACCTTGACATTGACCTCAAATACTACGATCTTGTAAGTATATGCTCTCCTGGGATTGGGGGGTTTGTTTGGTCATGTATCACAACGGTCTAACGGAGGTTTTGTGATAGGGACTCGAGTACCGTGACCAGACCGATGATAAGGTTACCACTGATGCCGCTGAGGCCATCTTGAAGTACCAAGTCGGTGTCAAGTGTGCCACCATCACTCCCGATGAGGCCCGTGTTGAGGAGTTCAAGTTGAAGAAGGTAATGATCACTCAGTTCACCCTCTTAAGCCCCAATTTCGGTGGTGTTTCCAATCATTTACTAACATCACGGACAATAGATGTGGCTCAGCCCCAACGGAAGTCAGTAATATCAATCATTTCCACCTTGTGAGACAGCAAGACTAACCCTAACCCCAGCCATCCGTAACATTCTCGGTGGTACCGTCTTCCGTGAGCCCATTGTCATCCCCCGTATCCCCCGTCTCGTCCAGGGATGGAAGGAGCCCATCATCATCGGTCGTCACGCCCACGGTGACCAGTACCGTGCCAAGGACCTCGTCGTCCCCGGCCCTGGAACCCTCGAGCTCGTATACACCCCGGTTGGTGGTGAGCCCGAGCGCATCAAGGTCTTCGACTACAAGTCCGGCGGTGTCGGCCTCGCCATGTACAACACTGACGAGTCCATTGAGGGCTTCGCCCACGCCTCGTTCAAGCTCGCCATCCAGAAGAAGCTCCCGCTGTACATGAGCACCAAGAACACCATCCTCAAGAAGTACGACGGAAGGTTCAAGGACATCTTCCAGCAGATCTACGACACCACATACAAGGCCGAGTTCGAGGCCGCAAAGATCTGGTACGAGCACCGTCTCATCGACGACATGGTCGCCCAGATGATCAAATCCGAGGGCGGCTACATCATCGCCATGAAGAACTACGACGGTGACGTCCAGTCCGACATTGTTGCCCAGGGCTTCGGATCTCTCGGTCTCATGACCTCGGTCCTCATCACCCCCGACGGTAAGACTTTCGAGTCTGAGGCCGCCCACGGAACTGTCACTCGCCACTACAGGGAGTACCAGAAGGGCAAGGAGACCTCCACTAACCCCATTGCATCGATCTTTGCCTGGACCCGTGGTTTGATCCAGAGAGGACAGCTCGATGGAACCCCCGAGGTTGTGGCCTTCGCGGAGGCCGTTGAGAAGGCGGTTGTTGACACTGTTGACATTGACGGTATCATGACCAAGGATTTGGCCCTGGCCTGTGGACGCAAGGACCGTGAAGCGTGGGTTACTACTAATGTAAGATTTCCTTCTCCCATCACATAACCATGTGAATAGCGCACTGACAAGCTTGTAGGAGTACATGGATGCCGTCGAGAAGAGGTTGAAGAACTCTTTGAAGGAGAAGTTGTAAAGAAAAACGCAACATGATTTAACACTCTTTTTTTTTTTTAGAAAATTACATGTATTTTGGGGGCTATGGATCTGTTTTTCCCTCTTTTTTTTTTCTTTTTTTCGTTTGAGGAAATTGTTTTTGTACATGTACAGAGTGCATAGGATATCCGGGATCTTTTTAAAAAATATAAAATAAGAAATTTTTCCTCCGAAACGACGGTGTTTTTGAAGTGATGTGATGTTGTAGTGTGGTGTTCATAAATAAGCCCTTGCGCCATGTCCTCCCCCAGCTGCTGCGGACTCAAGTGGGTAGGTGGTCACAAACCATCACTCGCACCGAAAATTAGCTTTGAAGAACCCAGCACACAACAACCCTTACCCACCGCTCTAGCCTATGTACCCTACCCGTCCGCCTCACCCTCCCTCCCCCGTGCCGAGCCCGCTATTAGCCAGCCTATTTGCGCGCCAAAACTGTAAAACCCAGAAGCGCAACCACAGCAACATGGCGCAGCGGAAGCGCGCCGGGCTCATAACCCGGAGGTCCCACGATCGAAACGTGGTGTTGCTAACATTTTGTGTTCTTTTTTTTTTGTGCTCTCTGAGGATGTGTGGAGGAAGAGACGGCGTGTCTGTTTCATGTGTGGGGAATTTTGAGTTTGTTTTGAACGTGGAGAGGGACTTGGGAGGGGTTTTTCTTTTGGGAGACGGAGGGGGTGATATTCTGTGATGCGACTCCCTTAACTTTGTGCGTTGGACTCGAAGCGTTATGTGTGTGTTTGCTAAGGATTAAGTAAGTCCCTGAAGCCCATACACTTACGGTATAAACCTCAGTGCTAGAGATCACGAATATTCGAGCGTAAAGTTCCACAATTAAGCTATGTACATGCTTTGTGAGATTTTGACAGTCGGTGTCGGTGTGGAATAGTCAAAACCTAGTACGATGTCAATCTAGCCCTCAAAATAATTTTTCACTCTCGAAATATGAGAGAGCAAAAAAAGCAAAAAAGGATGGTGGGGTGGTCGATTCACCATCCCCCAAAGTCCAAGGTGGGGATCGAGCATACGCACTGGCGAGGTTGTTCCACTCAGTTACTTGAATAACAGACCAGTGTCATTACACTAAGGCGTGGTCATTTTTTTCACTTGAGCCAGCCAATGTAGGGTTAGGTGTATATCCATATATATGCATATAAACTTCAATCTTGTAGCACGTCCCCTTCTTCACGAGGGTTAGGTTCCGCTGCGGGGGAAATTAGTAGCAATGCCCAAAGGGGGCGGTTAGACACCTTGGTGGTAGTATTGATAATGGACGCCTTATTGCACCTGTGGAGGGAAATGATCGAAAATACTTATTTTTGCAGACCAAGCCTAATCACATCATCGCCTTAGAAATTGTTTCCCGACGACGGAGATTTCCGCCGTTGCTTATCAACCATCCCCCGCCACTCACTCAGAGCTGCCCCTCCACAGACAGATATAATATCCTCAACTACAACTACACATCTACACTGCTTATTTACAACCTCACCTACAGCTAAACGTAAGACCACAGACAAGCCACCATGGCCGCCGTCGCACTCCCCCTCCAAGCAAACATCATGGGCCCGCCCCCCGCCGACCCGCAACTCGTCGCCCCCGAGCCCGGTAAGCCACCTCTCCCATAAACCCCCCCCCCCCCCCCCCCCATAACCCTCACCCCCCTCTAACAGCTCACAGAACACTGCCCCGGCCCCTCCTCCGAGCTCGCCGGCCAAGGCGACGCCTGCGCCGGCTGCCCCAACCAACAAATCTGCGCCACAGCCCCCAAAGGGCCCGACCCCGACCTGCCCCTCATCAACGCGCGCATGTCCACCATCGCGCACAAGCTGCTCATCATTTCCGGCAAAGGCGGCGTCGGCAAGTCGACCTTCACGTCCATGCTCGCGCACGCCTTCGCGCAGTCCCCCACCACGCAGGTCGGCGTGTGCGACATCGACATCTGCGGGCCGAGCATCCCGCGCATGATGGGCGCGCTCGGCGAGAGCATCCACTCCAGCAGCTCCGGGTGGAGCCCCGTGTATGTGGCGGATAATCTGGGCGTCATGAGTATCCAGTTTATGCTGCCGGGCAAGGACGATGCGATCATCTGGCGCGGCCCGAAGAAGAATGGGCTGATTAAGCAGTTTCTGAAGGATGTGGAGTGGGGCGCGCTGGATTGGCTGCTGGTGGATACGCCGCCGGGGACCAGCGATGAGCATCTGAGCGTGTGCGGGTATCTGAAGGGGACGGGCGTGGATGGCGCGGTGGTGGTCACGACGCCGCAGGAGGTGGCGCTGCTGGATGTGAGGAAGGAGATTGACTTTTGTAGGAAGGCCGGGGTGAGGGTGTTGGGTGTGGTCGAGAATATGAGTGGCTTTGTGTGCCCGAACTGCGAGGTAGGTTTTCACCGGAACGAGTACTGGTTGTCGGGGTTCCATTGATGCTAACGAGAGGTGTAGGGTGAGTCGCAGATATTCCACGCAACAACGGGAGGTGCCCGCGCGCTCTGCAAGGAGATGGATATCCCGTTCCTCGGCGCTGTCCCTCTCGACCCGCGCATCGGCGTGGCGTGCGACTATGGCGAGAGCTTCTTTGACGCCTACCCGGAGAGCCCGGCGTGTGAAGGCTTGATGGGGATTATTGAGAAGCTGAGAGAGGGCATGGGGTTGCCGCCGTTGGAGAGTGAGGGCGTTGAGGATCAATAGTTTTTCTTTTTGTATTTGATATCCTTTTTTGTGCTTTTCTTTGATTTGTGGGGTATGGAGTTTGGAGTGTGCCAGTTGTAAAAATAAAATTCTTGCAGCGTGAATTGCGGTTGGTGAAATGGGGATAGAATAAAAGAAAATATGGATCCAATTCTACCAATTGCTTCGCTGATATGATACACGAGATGAGCCCAATGCAAAACGTAACATCAACCACTACAAAACATTAGCATCGTCAGAGGATTGTAGTATCACTGTCGAGTTTGGAGCTGCCTTCCGTACTGTTAATCATCTTCACCAATAAATCAAGTCATGAAATATCACTCGCACCAAGAAACGGGCAGAAGTCTCCCGTTATTCTTGAAATGATAATTTTTAACGTGTCCATATCTATCCACCCAGCATTCCAGTAGCAGAGTATCCAGATCTAGTAGCGATGCTCTTCCCAAAGGTGAACTAGTTCCTGGTGCGGGAGGGGGGAAGTGTCCACTAAACGTGCTACTGTCAAGTAAATCCCGAACAGGGTATCCGCCCACTAGGCTCTCTCTCTCGCATAGATATTAAAGGTCTTATTGTGATAAGGATGCTGATAATATAGCATTAGAAGCACACTGGTATCTGGAGAATGCCTTGACAGCAATTCCAAGCCCTCGCGCTGCATGTAACCGGGTATTGAAGCATCCCACAACATTGAAGGAGCCTGCCACGAGAGCTCCGGTTATATCGTTATTATGCCACTTCGGACAGCCAGCGGGGATCTCCTTGTTATTTGGAGCGGAGAGTGAAATTCTTTTATGACGAGAGGCCGTCTAGATCTTATATGGGTGAGCCCTGATGAGAAGCCACGAGAAGACTGAAGGGTCCACTTTTGGAGGATTTCTGCTCGCTCGCTGTACGCAGAGGAGGTCCTAGGCAGGAGAGGGGGCATCGCTCCGCTTGTCCAGTAGAGAAAATCGGTTAGTGAAGGTGTGGTCAATGCCGCTTGATGTGGTGAAGGCGGTCTCCTCGGCTTCAATCACTCTTTTCCTTGTCTGTCCTCTATATTTCAAAGACTTCCCTAGGTGATATATGGCAACGAGATTGTATCCTTCAATTGGGTCTAGAAACGCTCCAGCGTCGACCGGCCTGCCTGGTAGCCTCCGCAACAGGTGTAGCTATGCAACTCTGTTGCTGTCTCCTTCAATTGGCCGCCGGTGTTTGGGTTGATTCTTGTCATTATTCTCATACTTGATTTATGCTGCAGTCGTAACCCTCTTTCGACTGTGTTAGTATCTGTGTGTCTAGTATCGACAACGTTTGGAAGTTTTGTGGCCATAACCGTACTGGCCCCTTGATCATGGAGTTTAAGTTGCGGCCGAAACCAAACAGAGGAAATGGTGAGAGCGGTGAGCGTTCACTTTCATGGGCTCCGGGGGGTTGAGGGGGCCCGGGGTGATCATCGGTGACTGGGGTAGATGTGTTGTTGTTAAGCACACTCATGCTCATAGATCATCACTCGCACCATGTGCCCAACTCAGCTACCCAGCCAAGCCCGAGCACGCGCAAAACGTTGGTGTAAAGTGCACTTCTCCCCCACCCTTTCTTCCCCTCCATCACCACCACTTCCCACTTCTTCTCCTCCGTCATCACTACATCTATTCGAAGTCATCTGCTTAATCAAGTTTATCGTCACCCCCTATTTTTTAAAACCGCCCTCGTAATCATTGTTTTATTCGCTATTCATACACACCGCCGCCTCTCCATACAAAATGGGGTACTGACTGGCCCATTGCTCTCCATGTTGGTTGGTTTGTATATTCCCCCGAGGGGCAGAGGAAATCATTTTCTCCTTTCTGCTGCTTTTCGTTCTCTACTTTTTTTTTCTCCCCTGTGCATGTGTTGACCCCCCCCCCCCCCCCCCCCCCCATTTCTCCTTGCTTATCCTTTCTCCCAGTCTCCTCATCCACCCCCACCCCTTTCATCACGGGCGCGTCGCGACTGGGTACTATCTCGCTTTCCCTGTCAACAGGAAATCCGGCATAAGGCTTGAGCACAGTGTGTGAAGTATGGATCTAATTTTTTGGTGATTGTTTTATGTTTTTGACATCCAGAAACTAAAATAACCCAGAAAATCAAGTCCATATTTGATAGTACAGCGCTCAGGCTTTATGCTGTCGAGATATCCATTGTGCCTCTCTTGCTTGAGGGGATTATTGGAGCGGTTAGGCGCGATTTAGTGTGAAGGCTTGGGCACTGTGTGTGAAGTATGGATCTAATTTTTTGGTGATTGTTTTGTGTTTTTTTTGGCAGCCAAAAGCAAAAATAACCCAGAACAATCAAGTCCATATTTGATAGTACAACGCTCGGGTTTTATGCTGTCGATAATGTGCCATATTTGTAAACAAACAAGTCAAGAGTAAAATTTTAATGCAGCATATTTTGATGGCTTTTAGGGTTGTCCGATACGGGCACGATCTAGGTACTAGCATACAGTTCTTACGATATATTGATGTTCAGCGCGTTTGGGTGGAGTCTTGAACACAGAGGTATGTATGTACCTGGACGGTACTGTTATCCCCATATGTTGCATTTCTTGATATGTGTAGAGGAGCACTGTAGAAAAGCGACTCTACAGTTCGAAAAATTAAAGTGAGACAGAACCTTTCAATTGAACCATCATAATCAGTAAAGAACCTCCCTGAGACATGTCCGTACCGTAAATGTGCCCCCAAATATGCCTCTGTTGGAACGGACACGCGAGCGTAAGTCTTTTTTGTCGTGGTGGGTTATATGTATAATGTTTTTGGGAAATAAATCTTTTTATATGTTAAACTGTGACTACGAGAGACCGCCTCTTTTGGCGTTTCAGTTCCAATAAACTGTTCTAATGTAATATCACCCCCCAATGAATTAACTATAGTAGAGGAAGGGGCCGACCCCCAGATGTAAATCATAACTTATCACTCGCCATGTCTTGGCACGCGGGCACACCGTCCGACTTGGTTGAAATTCAGATAACAAGAGAGAGAGGTTCTGACTTTTTTTTTTCGTTCCTTTTCTTTCTGGAATAATCTATGGGGGGGTTATGCGGTTTTTTGGTATGGAGTTGGACAAGTGCTGCGGATGCCAGTACCTGATGGAGTGGAATGTGCCTTTGTACTCTCATCCGTATAACCGCATCATAGATATCACTTTGCCAGACAAAACAGACGAACCAAGAAACCAAGAAACCAAGAAACCAAACTAAAAAAAAAAACCAGAAAATGTCAAATTGATATCTATCTCTACATAAACCCACCGCTTCTCCCCACGCCCCCCCCCCCCCCAACTACCACTACGCCGTAAAATACAACCAACTAAAGCCCACCCAACTCCCCACCACCCCGACCGCCGCATAGCTACTCATAAACATCTGCGGCACAAACTCCCACCTCCCCCGCCACACCAGCGGATGCAGCACGCTCGTATACACCACCAGCGGCACGCTCACCACAATAAACAGCGTCGCGGGCCGGTCCAGCAAAAACCGGCGCTGCCCCACACTCACGGGCGCCAGGCGGTCAAACGCCGACAAAAACACAAGCAGCCAGAGCACCGTGTAGACGGTCTTGATGGGGAACTCGGGGGCCGTGAAGAGCAGCGGGAAGAGGGACACGTGGCCGGCGACGGCGAGCGGGCGGAAGGCGCCGAGGTAGCGCCGGTCTTTGAGCGCGAGCAGGGAGAAGGGGAGGATGATGAGGAGGACGGCCTTCTCGTGCACGTGCCAGCCGAAGAGGAAGGAGGCGTAGGCGCAGAGCGTCACGGCGCCGAGGAAGGTGTCGAAGGTGGGGCGCAGCCAGAGCTTGAGGAGGGCGAGCAGCTGGAAGAGGAGGGTGAGGAGGAAGGTGGTGCGTGGGGTGACGTTGGGGAGGACGGCGAAGGAGGTGTCGCCGACGAGGCCGCGGGTGACGCTGGTGAGGGCGCTGGGGTCGACGGTGAGGCCTAGGCGGGGGGCGACTACGGCGTGTTAGATCAGCTCAGCTCAATTCGCCCTGCTACACCCCCCGGGAAGGAAGGGAGAAAGGTACGTACCGTATATCAGCACGCGGTCCGTGAACGAGTACATCGCCCACACGTTCGGCGCCCAGTACGCATGACACAAGCCGCGACTAAACGGAAACAGCCTCGCAGCCAGCTGCGGCATCTGGCCCCAATACACGAACGGGCCGAAGGCGGCGCCAAACACCGCCAGCAGGCCCAGCCCCAGCTTGACGCAGTTCGCGAAGCGGATGTCCAGCACCGACCGCGGGCCGAGGCAGTAGGCGCGCAGCAGGAACACAAAGTATGCCGGCGCCAGGTAGAGGTAGATGTGCTTCAGGCACAGCAGCGCGGCGAAGAGCAGGCCTGAGAGCAGCCGCGTGGACGGCGAGCGCGCAAGGACCAGTGAGAGGAGCAGGATGCCGTAGAGGAAGCCGTTGTATTGGAAGTGGATGTGGTCGATGATGAGCAGGCCCGGGGAGAGCAGGATCGAGAGGGCGGCGGCGTGTGCGGTGCGTTTGGACGCTTCCGGGGCCGTGGTGATGTATCTAGCGAGCAGCGACGGCACCTCTGGTTAGAACCTTTCCTCCCCCCGCCAACAAGGCATCCCCGGGGGGTGCTGGGGAGGGAAACTGACTTCTGGAGCGCAAAGACGAGCAGCAGCTCGGTGAAGATGACAGACAGGCGCTGGAAGTAGACGGTCTGCGTGCTGGCGTAGTTGAGGTTCTGCACCTCGAGCATGGCCGGGTCAAAGTACTTTGCGACCTGGCTGAGGCACCACTCGAACGCCGCGAAGAAGGGCGGGTAGTCGAGCGTCCATTCCGAGGTTTTCTAGAGCTCCGCGGTCAGGTCTTGGTACTAGTAGCTCCGGCGACGCACGCAGGATTAGGGAAGCTAGCGGTGAGGCATACCTCGAAGTACCACTCCTTGACGGGCAGAGAGTGTGTGATGGCCAGCCAGTTGCGGTGGACCTCGAAGTCTGTAGATTTACTGCTCAGATCAGCTTCCAGCCCCCCCGACTGCCATTCCACCACTCCTAGCACAACTACTGAATGAAGCCCAGGGACAATACTGACTATGTGGGGATCAGCAGCAGCTTGAACGCCGTCGAGACAATCGCGCACTCGCGCAGTGAGGGGTGGAATTTCTCCATCAGACATTCATGCCCTCTTGGATCGAGTCTCCAGGAGCCGTCGAGAAGGAGTGAGCGGTGAGCGGTGAGCGGTGAGCGGTGAGCGGGATTGCGAGTACAGCGCTGGAACGTGTTGTTTGAGGGATGCCCTCGATTACCCTGCCTGTCCGTCACGTGGTGCTGCCCACAGCGAGTTTTGCAGTGCCCTGATGTACGCTGACTACGGCACTAACAGTCCCTAGCCAAAAAAAGGGAAAAAAAAAAAAAAAAAAGTTTCCCACCGCAAAGAAAAAAAAAGTTCGAGCCCGCACACAACAAAACCACACGAGGGAGAGAAAAAACCTATCCTCGCAACAACTCTCCACCACCGATAACGGGCCTGCTCGACTCAATTCAGTTCAACACAGAGACACTGACACAGCTACAATAATAGCTGCTCTGTTCCTTTGGTTTCTAAAGGATCCCATATACAGCACCGTATATATATACATATTATAATAATTATCCAATTGGCCCCACCAGAACCCACTACACACAATGGTCCAAAAGAAGCCCACCACAGCCAGCACGGCCACCAAGTCCAGCGGGCCCTCAAAGCTCACCACCCCCTCCGCCACCCCGCTGCTGACATCCGCCTTCTCGCCCGCGCACCTGCGCCTGTCGCTCTTCGCCTCGACGATCCTGGGCCTCGACGCCGTGCGGCTGCGCATCCACGACACAGTCACCGGCCGTCTGCGCTGCGAGCACGCGCTCGACAAGGGCGTGTCCGTCAACTCGCTCGCCTGGGGCACCGTCCCCAGCGCCGCCGCCGCGGCGGCCGCCGGCGCAAAGAAGAAGCGCAAGAGGGTCGACGGCGGCGGCGCCGAGGAGGCGGCGGTGGTGGTTGCGGCGGCGACGAGTAGAGGGGAGGTGCTGCTGTTCTCGCCGAGTGAGGGCGTGGTGGTCGGCGTGCTGGAGGGAGGCCATATTGGGGAGGTGAGGCAGTTTGTGTTTTCGGGGGAGAAGGAGGAGGGGAGGGGGTGGAGTTGTGGGGTTGATGCGAAGCTGGTTGAGTGGGATCTGAGGAGGAGGCTGCAGATGAGGTATGTTACAGTTCTTTTTTGCATAATCTTGGGGTCGATTGGGCTCTGCTGGGGCTGCTGGGGATGCTGGGGCTGCTGGGGATGCTGGGATATATTGCATATATTCCTGACATCTCGTACAAAGACCCACAAAACTCCCTTCTTCCCCTGCAGTTGCACACCGAAACCCCCCTCACCTGCATTTCCAATCATTACCACCCCGCTCACTCGATATCAAAAAAAAACCCAGAACAATCAACCTCCCCGACGCCGCCATCCGCCGCCTCGCCTACGCGCCGCCCGCCGCCGTGCTCTGCGCCTCGCACACAACCTACGCCATCAACCACCACAACCCGGGCATGACCGCACCCGCAAAGTTCACCGCCAACACCACGCCCATCCACACCCTCGCCACCTCGCCCGACCACACGCGCTTCCTCTCCGCCGCCGACTCGGACCGCTTCATCAACGTCTTCGCCCTCGCCGGGTCCAGGAGCATCGGCGCCCTCGTCGCCGAAGCCGACGTCACATCCATCGCCGTCTGCCCCACCGCCGACCTCCTCCTCGCCGTCACCACCGACGGCCTCGTCGAGCTCTTCACCGCCCCCTTCGACCCCGCGGGCGCCGCCGACGCCGCGGCATCCCCAACCGCCGCCAGGAAGCGCAAGGCGCTCACCAAGAAGGGCGCCGCCAAGGTGACGGTGGTCCGCCCCGGCAGCAAGGAGCGCGTGGCGATCGCGGACGCTTCGGTCCAGGGCGACGACATCGTCGTTGCCTGGGTCGAGAGCGGCGTCAACATGGAGTTCGAGAAGCTCCGCTGGGCCAGCGCCGAGTCGGGGTCTTTGGTCCTGACCGGCACGGTCGAGATTGCGCGCACGAGCACCGTCCGTGTCGGCGGTGGTGGCGCGGCGACTGGCTCGACGCTGAACGGCGTCAAGGACCTGGGGAAGGCCTCGGTCGACGAGAGTAAGTCTGTCGTTGTCGGCGGCACCGACGCGCAGGACATCGGCATGGAAGACGCGCCCAGCGACGCCGACGACCTCGACCTCTCATCCGACGAAGACGCCGCCGCCGCCGCCCCCGCCGCCGCCGACGAGCCCTCCTTCGCCGAGAAGTTCCAAGCCCTCGAAGTCAAGACCCTCCACAGCACCGCGCTCACCACCACCGCCGCCTCCACCGCCGCCACCACCATCAAGAAGCCCACCGCCCCCGCCGCCGGCTCCCTCACCACCGTCCTCACGCAAGCCCTCAAAACGCACGACACCCAGCTGCTCGAGTCCTGCCTGCACGTCACGGACTCGCCCTCCATCATCGCGACCGTGCGCCGCCTCAGCTCGACCCTCGCCGTGGACCTGCTCGAGCGCCTCGCGGAGCGCATCGCGCGCCGCCCCGGCCGCGCCGGGTCCCTCGGCGTGTGGGTGCGCTGGACGCTCGTCGCGCATGGCGGGTATCTCGTCTCGCTGCCGGACCTCATGAGTACGCTGGCGGGCCTGTATTCGACGCTGAATAGTAGGGCGGGCGCGCTGCCGAGGCTGCTGGCGCTGCAGGGGAGGCTGGATATGTTGAGGGCGCAGGTGGATCTGAGGAAGGTGATGAGGGGCGATGAGGAGGTGGAGGAGGAGGAGGAGAGGGGCGTGCTGTATGTGGAGGGGCAGGATGATGGGGAGGAGTCGGATGAGGAGCCGGAGGAGGTGGGGATGCAGGGGTTGGTGATTGAGGATGCGAGCTTTATTGGGGGGAAGGTGGGGGGTGAGGAGGATGTGGAGGAGGAGGAGGAGGAGGAGGAGGAGGAGGAGGAGGAGGAGGAGGAAGAGGAGGATGACGAGGAAGATGAAGATGAAGATGAGGAAGAGGAGAAGGGCTTCTTCGATATCGAGGCCAGCGAGGCCAGCGAGGACGAGGACGAGGACGAAGTGGACTACGACGACGTCGACGTCCAGGTCCTGGACTCGGAGGAGGAGGAGGAAGAGCAGCAGAGAAAGTCTGCAAAGTCCAAGAGCAAGAGCAGACGGTGAACATCTTCACCAAGCGTATAAAAAAAAAAGGATTAACAAGCGGTGCAGTAATGTCATTTAGTTAGAGAGAAAAAAAAATCTTGTACGTTAAGATGGCGGCTTTCTTCGTTTCTTTTTTTCTTTTTTAAAATCCTTATCTTTCTTGTGTTTGTGTTTTCGATATTGTCTATTTTTTTACCAAAAAGAAAAGTTGTGCTAAAAGTATTTACTATCTTGCTACTGCTACTACCTACTGCTACTGGACGAGTCTACTACGGTCTACTATTCTACATGTGCTACTGCTACCTGCTACCCTACTACATAGCTGTATTTACTTTACTACCAGTTTACTACTACGTACTTTACCACCTGTGTCTATCAATATCCGTATCTATCCACAATTCGATCCCAGATCTCCATCTATCACTCTCGATCCCCCCCCAAAGGCCCAGCGGAACATCGCACCATGCACGTTCCATCCCATCTGTAGAGTACCTACCTACTCTACCGTAGATTAGATTACCTTCCTCCCACCTCCCCCCACCCCTCACCCCTCTACCCACAGGGTCCAGAGTACTTCCTCCCCATAGCCAACTGAGGGGCAAAAATATAAAAAAAAAAAGCAGGTTACCCCCATGCACAGCAAAAGTGCGGTTTGGTGTCGGGCTGCGGCATGACGCTGCACGCACTGCTGCTGCTCCCACACACACGGGCCTTTTGCTTTTTTTTTGATTGTCCTGGACACCCACCCACCCACCCGGCCTACATACATGTATCCATCCATACTTTCCCCTTTGGCGCCCATGCGGTAGAGCACATATCTACTACAATATGTATGCGCCGGCAGGCGGGCAGGCAGGAGCAAGTAATTTTTTTTTCTTGTTGCTGCGAAGGGAGGGAGAGGGATCTACAGACATACATAGGGGGTGAAAGGGAAAGGGAGAGGGAAGGGGGGGGGGGTATTTAGAGTAGGTATGCGGAATTCAAATTGGTCGCGGTTCTTTGTTAGATATCTTTACCCCCGGTTTTCCTGATCTTAGTACCCTCAAACGCGCGCGCACTCCCCCCTCCTCTTGAAGGTTTCTATTCTCGGTCTTTGTGTGAGTGTGTTTGCTTGTGGTGTGGGTGTTTGTATATCGGATTTCCCTAGTGTGTGTGTGTGTGTGTGTGTGTGTGTGTGTGCGTGAGAGGGAGGGAGGGATCAGCACAAAAATCAATCTATTTTTCCCGCTCGTGATCCACTTGCTACATATTTGCTTGCTACTTACCGGCATTCTCTTCAACCTCATACTACCTTTTCCTCTCGTCCACAAACTTCCCCCCCCCTCCGAGCCAGGGAAATTCGATACCCACACATTCGCTCGACCCCCCCCCCTCGATCCCCTCCTCCTCCTCCCCCCCCCCATTCGCCCACTCGCTCGTCATGTCGAACCCTCCAAAGACTGCTGGGAAGAAGAATAAGAGCGCTGGCACGGGAGAGCCAAAGGAGAAGAGTGAAGCGCTGGCGTCGTCGTCGGCGTTGATCATCTGTCGGAATAAGTCTGTTTGCCCCCCCCCCCTTCCTTCCCCCCTCACCCCCATATCATAGCATACCACTCCGGCGCCGACCTGAGGATTCATCTGGACTGGAATTGAACCCACCTCTCCCCCTCTCCCTCCCTCAATTGGGCACACACTGACCTCCGCAGGCACTGGCGCTACATCTCCTCCTTCCACGGCCCCTGGCTCCAGCTGCCCCCCGAGGTCCTCACCTCCCTCCTGCACAGCAACCACCACGCCCCGCGCCCGCGCCCCATCGACCCCTCCGTCCTCTCGGACCTCGTGCAGATCCGGCACCTCGTCGACGATGCCACAACCCTCGCCGTGCGCGCCGCCTCCTCCTCCACCCCCCGCCTCTCGCGCGAACGCAAGCACCGCATGCGCGAGCTCGCCACCCAGAAGCTCTCGCGCGCCTACCACCTCGACGAGATCGCCGCCTCCGTCGCAACAATGCAGAGCGCCAGCTCCCTCGAGGACGTGGCGGCCCTGGTGCTCCAGCGCAACCCCGACGACCCCGACGCAAAGTACGTCCACTTCTTCCACGAGAAGATCCCGTCGCGCATGCTCGCAAAGTGCACCAGTCTCGCCCCGCTCGACGATGTGATTGCGGAGCGCCCCGGCGAGGGCGCGCCGCTGAGGACTAGGGCCGTCACGAAGGCGTTCAAGGACGACCATGTCAGCGCCGCGGCGGACCTGACGGCCGCGCTCAATGTGTGTAGGCCCGCGAGGCATGGGCATGATGTTGTGGTTGCGCGCGGGGGCGCGGCGGCGGCGACGGAGGAGCAGCAGCAGACGCCGTCGAGTCTGGAGGCGCAGCTGCTGTTCCATAGGGCGTCGACGTATCTGACGATTGCGGCGGGGGCGGTTGAGACGGCGCTGGACAGGCCGAAGGCGGGCGCGGCGCCGGTGGAGGAGGCGGAGAAGGAGGCGGCGAGGAAGGTCGTCAGGGCGAATGCAAAGAGGGCGCTCAGGGACTTTGTCAGGTTCCTGGGGAACTTTGAGTACACGCCCGGGCTGCCGGCGGAGACTCGAGACGAGTTTGTGAGGAAGGTGAACGAGGAGCTGGGGCGTGGCCGCGGCAGCGAGTCTGGAAACACCGAGAAGGACGCCAAAAAGCTCCTCGAGATGTTCTACCGCCAGAACAGCAGCAGCAGCACTGCCTCCGACAGCAGCAACGGCGGTAGCAGCAGCAGCAGCAGCGCTCTCACTAGGATCAGCGGCGGCGGCGGCGGCGGCGGCGGCTACAGCGGTACCAGCACAGGCTCTCGCCCCTTCACCTCCCTCCCGCCGCCCCCGGTCTACGCCCTCTCAGCGCTCTTCACCTCCCCGCCGTCCTCTCTGCCCCCATACCCGTGCACCGCGCTCACAACCGCCAGCGCCCCACCACCCACGCCCACCTCCGCCGCCCTCACCGCCCTCCTCTCCGACTCCACCGAGTCAATCACCTACCACCCACTGCTCACTGACGCGCTACACAGTCTCCTCCTCTGCCATGTCCTCCTCAGCACGCCGCCCAAGGAGCTGCTCCGGCACGCGCACATGGTGGCGCGGCTAGCGCGCGTCTGCGACGGCTACCCCATCTTCCTTGCTGCGCGGTCGCCGGCACGCGCAGACTGGATCGAGGTCCTGCGCAAGACGGGGAACTTTGTCGGCATTGAAGGGAGCTGGGAGGCGCTGTGCTCGCCGGCGCCCTTGGGCGGTGGCGGTGGCCCGCAGGCGCCAAAGAGGTGGGCGCAGGAAGAGGGGGGGAAGGAGTATCCGGTGGTGACGGAGCGGGCGGGGTGGCTGGCAAGGTGGGTGAAGGATGTGGCGAGAAGGGAAAGGGCGAGGGTGGAGGATGGGACGGAGGTGGCGGTGGTACCACAGCAGCAGAGGAGGAAGAAGGCGCCGGCGAAGTCTGGGGCGGTGGTTGTTGGGGCGGCGAGCGCCGCGTCGTAGACTGGCTTCGGGAGGGATAATGATCGAGGGTCTGGCTCTGGCTGGCTGATGCCATTGAAACTTTTAGAATTCAAAGATCGGGATTAGGGATTGGGGATTGGGACTAGCTGCGAGTAATAGGTGCGCGAGTGAGTGAATATGTTGACCGAGTGAGTGAATATGTTGACCGAGTGATATCGTGTGACCCAAGCCAAGATAACCTTGCCAGGCACGTTTCTGAAAAACAGCGGGAAATGCCCCTCGGTATTCTTGAAGAATCCAAGGGATCTCTGTCTTGCTCCGGTCGTATTTCTTGAGTGGAGTGGTTTGGCCGCACCAAGGGGTGCGAGTGATTATCTGTGATCATTGCTCTGGTATTGGAAGGCAATAGCCTAGTTACATGTAGCAATACCGATTCATCCATTTGAAATCCGATTGGACGCCTCTGAGCGACTTATTTAATCACGCATAATCTGTGGTTTTGCTACTGTAGTAAGCAAAACAGCTTCCAATAAAGGAATTGACCAACGCCCCCTTACGCATATATGTTACCCCGTATCAAAGATTCCGGGATGCAGCTGAGGAAAAGTAATATCCATTCTGGAAAACTCGCAAGATGAGGGCCATCACAGGCTAGCCCCTCCGGTAATGACTATGCTCATATCCAGAACGAATGTATACACCCAAATACCGCTATGGCAGGCAAACAGCCAAAACGCCCAACACCTCCGGTCTGAAAAGGAAAATAAAAAGTGTAGGTATTGATATGCAGCTAGCCGTCGAATCTAGTGTGGCCCATGAGGAATCTCAGCCTTGCGGTCCCACAAGGTATATCCCCCATACAAACTGCGAATGCCATACCACTATAGTATCTTTTTTCTATTGTGATTATATACGTATACTGCGACACTGCAGATAAATAGTATCAAGCTCAAGTTATTGTATCCTACTCGCACAGCCGGTTTCAAACCGTCTAAGGAACTATGGCGAATGATCTGGTAACCATCAATAAGAGCTTATAGTTGGGTCTATTTGGAGTCCCCAGATCACCGATTGCCTTTTTTGTATGGGACACATCTCTTTTCTTTGAGGAGGACCCCAAGGTTCACAGGTCAAAAGGATTCCAACTGAATATTAAGAATTATGACTGAAAAAGGTTGCATCCTAGATTTTGGCCTGCTTTTTATCTATTTGTGGACGAGGTGGATGAGAGCTTCTGCACGCCAAGATGTAGCGAGTGATATTATATGAAGAAGTCTGTTGGCTGGCCGCTGTATATGTCAGATAAACCTGGCAGTGGTGATGGAGAAAGAAGAGGGAAAGCGAAGACATTAATCAAAGCTTATTTAGAAGGTTAGTTGCCACCTAGAGTAACACCACGTGGTCACTGGTGCTGGAGGAAAATCTCCTGGTTACATATCAGATCTTTATCCAACTGTTCCCATCCAAATGCAACGCCATTATTCAGGCTCATTGACACTTCTTCAAAGCAACCAACCTACCCTACTACATCAGGTTTGTTAGAGTCGATAAATAACTAACGATCTGATTCAGAAGCTCTGCTACACCGAGGGCAGGTGATGGCGCCACTACCTACACAGAGCTCATCCACGCAGCTCTAGGCCCCAGAGCTCAGTTGATTAATCCTCCTTTAGCCACGCTGCACTACCTCGTTTATCCTCTCCACTTACCAACAGGTTGCTGCTCGTTACGCGCAATCACACCAAATCAGACACAGGGCTCAATGTCCATACCCCCAGACACCGCCTAAATCAACTACGTATAGAGTCAGTACGTACAGCGTGGTAAATCAGACGGATGGGCATGAGGTGCCTACACTCGTCAGAACCCAAAGGCCCAGCGGCCAGAACCACAAATCTGATCACATCTCTTTTCTACTAGACGCATAAACCAAAGGATCTCTCACAACAGAGATCATAGCTATATAGAGATGAAGAGTGTCCAGTGGTATCCAAGTTATGGGGTGCTTGCTGGCCAAAGGAATTCTCCCTGTTCGCATCGAACTGTTGAAGGTTTCGGTACTAACTACACCATCTCAGATCCGCTTTTGAGCGCCAGGGCCTGTGCATGTACAGGATATCAAGCAACGATATAAAATATATAGGTTGCAGGCACTTAGTACGAGGGTTATCTATTCATACTACCTCGAACACCCGGCCACTTGCAGAGATGACTTTGGGAGGAGCGGGCTATCACACTGTTCACCAGCTTGAACTGTTAATGCTTCGGTTCCCGTACCATCGGTAGTGGAATATAGCCCTCCCTATGATCATCCCGAAGCCGGTGACGTTTCTTTTTTCAAAAACAAACTATCAACCAAAGAACACAGCACAGCTATAGATGCGCTTGTGGGATTTAGGGAGCAAAAGATATACTATATACTGACTCCGAAGGCTCCCCGGACGTTTCGAAGAAGCAAGGCATATATACTATAATGAACGGGCATTATGAGGCCCTTAGCTCTGGCGACCCCATGGAAGACAATTTGTTGAAAGGCTTGAGAGTTGAATCACACAATATCACTCGTTTCCATAATTTATATTGGTAAACTTATCAGCCTCCTGGGGATTCCGCACAACTAACTATATCACGTTAGGGAATTTATAATGAATGCCTGAGCCTATAGGATGCGGACGCTGGCTACATCACTACTCAACCAATCACATATATTCAAAAACTCACAGCGCTACTTGCACCAAACCAGAAAGGTCAATATAAGTCTAACTATCAGAGAGGAAATATGGTGCCTACCACTGGAGGCTACACGCCTAACAAACTCATTTAAGGGTTTCTAGTAAGCTAGCCAGGCCCGAATGTTCTTGTTGTTGGGATAATACTATCTAACCGAACCATACTTCATGATTAGTGCCAAATCAGGCTCAATGAAATACCGAGTTAGTAATACCAACATTTCTATACGTTATTTCACCTATTATTCCAAGCCTCCACGCCGATATAGGATCACAGGATTCATAGAATTGTCAGCTAGTACTTGGTCGCTGAAGAGATATTGAAACTAAACTTATACAATTCTACAATCATTTGAGGCAATGGGGTAGCAATCGTTGCAACACACCTAGCCAGCCAAATAGATTGTAGGGTTCACCTCGATCAACCTATTTACAAAACTGGTTACTCTATAGGTTCGACTTTTATTTCTTTCTGGTGCTTGGTAGAATATAACTTCTATATAATCTTGTAGAAACAAAAACTTGCGCACAGTCTTACATACACAACACAACTGGGCCGGGACGGAAAGGTTCTCAATGATAGGAACAAACTGAACAACATAAATGAGTTTTTGTTCCGAGACATAGGGAAGAAATATCTTCGATCATGCGGTATCACTCGTTTACCACTCGTGGTATGGTGCACACACTTTTAAAGGTGACACGGCGGTATACGGAAGTGGAACAATTGTGGCTGCAATATGGACTCATGGGCCTATCAGAGTGCTCATTTCTAGCCATTTTGCTGCATCGCTGCCACAACTCGGTCAGGTTTTCTTTTCGGGGGGGTATAAATGGGTATAATGCTGTTCCACTTTATTCTGTCTTGGCACTTTTTACATACAAAAACAGTCGGTTTCAGTCTCTTATAACTTCATGACCATGATAGATATCGAAAAATTTGAAAGATAGAACTAAAGTCCATCACTATTACTATACTTTTTATCTTACCGATTTCCTTTTATCTTTTTTAGTGGTGAAGTTATAAGCGATTGGCTTTTCGTCACTTTTGGTTATCTTTAAGAGTGGGCGCACCATAGATTGAGACTCATATTATTATCTAAACAAGAGTGTAATTCATGCCTTGCGTTTGATCTAATATATGATATTGTTGAGCTCAATCCCTCACCCTCTGCGGTCGATAAGGTCATGAGCATCCTCTTTGTTTGGAGGCCGTTGGCACTATGATGTGGTGCCCTACGACAATATTCAATGCCCTAATAATAAGAGTATGGGCTTAAGTTAGATCTAATTAATCTTTCAGACGGATATAGATAATAAATATTCACTATTGCCTAGTAAATTCGTGGATTGGGTAGGTATTCAATCATACTAGCGACCAGGAGAGATGTATCCTTGTACCGTGGGATTCCATGATGCTATATCTCCCTTTTATAGATTCTGATGCGACCAGTTAATGTCTAGGGAATCTAACCCTAACCCTGGCCCACCCCAATTTGAAATAGGCCCACAACCACTGTTAGCGAAGTAGAAATAAGTTGTGCACCTCCGATTAGGATATACTCAGGGCTTCCCCACTTTGGCAACCTTAATAACGATACCATGGACGTCACTAGGCTTAGGCTTACATGTAGTCATGCCGGTGTGGCCCGAGCGCCAACCATTTAACTCGGTTCCCATTAGTACTGAGTGACTGAGTGACTGAGGTGACCCGGGTTGGCATTCCAACTATAAATGCACTTGAATCTAAGTCGAAGGGATGTGTTCTTTTTTCTTATTGCGCGCGTCAAGCCACGACATAGCACATACACCCCCGGATTCCTCGACATTAGAACCTCCCATTCATTCTAGAAGACCTCTCTATCCTCAGGGTTACGATTCAATAATTACAAGCAATGAGTTGGGTTGACGATATCCTGAGTTTGAGCATCTCATTGCGGTCCTGGCTGTTTGGGCCTGGACATGAGAGTGGGGTGGATCGGTTTGAAGGTTGGGTTTTGGTTTTAAAAACGATGAAGATGCTAGGGAAGGAGACATGGAAACAGATTTCGTGATCTCTGGATCTAATTCGTAAGTACTGGGTTTGTGGAGACGAGTTTACCATTTTTTGCTGACTTTCCGATACTGCAGAGGTTGTCTTTCTTGATATCCGCCCTCAGGCCCGAGTTTGAGGATTAGAGAAACACTTCCAGGGCTGGCCGGCTGGGAGCTTGAAACGATTAGGAGTAAAATAGATGTATAAATATCGGTCCAAGTGTGTTTCAAAAATATATAGACATAGAGCGATTGAGTATGTGCTTTAACTTTTGACATGACGGCCGGAGTTTGAGTGCATGTTGGTCAGTGTTCTGGGATACTGCACATGCACGAATACCAGGGCAATATTGTTCGACATGTAGCTGTATTAGTATGTACATGTAGTTTATACCTCTGGTGTAACCGCGATAAACTTATGCACCGCGGAAGGTCAAAGCCAGGTCATTCTAACGGACCTTTCCGTTCACTCCTATATATAAACAAGGCCAGACGAGACCTGTGAGTTACAAGTGATGGCCAGCTATGGGACCCGCTGCCGAGTTTGAAATGTTGCAGATCCAAAGGTCATTACCACTGGAACTCATATTCGGGTTCTTCCCTTCCCTGAGTGATACCTAACACTAACACCGATGCAAGATGCAATGGAAGCCGTTTGGATACCTGCCTGACTGCCAGCTGCAGGTACATATACGACCGGGCCCAGGATATAGGATGGAAGGCGATAAGATCACCACCCCGGTAGTTGCACATGATGTGTGTTCTACTAATGGCCAATGGCTCATGGAAAAATGTGGATTGGTAGGCTCACAGGTAGGCCAAGCTGATCTACGCCACAAATTGAAATGTCATCGGTTGATTATGACGTTTCTTCCTTTTGACAACTGGTAGTTTCTCTTTTCTCCTGATGATCATCCACGTGGACCCCATTACAAGAGTCGGACTCCTTAGAGGTCACTCCAGTACGCGTGAGTACCAGTCTTGCAGCCTGGGAGAGCCGACATGGCCACGTTGTACCCGTGCGATTATTTGACCGGGTAATGAATGAATGTATGGCTGGGTCAGGCCGAGTTGTGTTTGCATAGCAACGAGTCATCATTGCAGGGTACTAAACCCGATTTTTTTTTTGGAAATATGGATAGGTGCTGACATGATTGACTGATAGACCCTAAAGGGGGGGGTTATTCTCTGAAATCTAGTCATTGAATTGTCTGTATCTCAAGGCAGCCGGCCTTTACGGAACATATATGACCAGGCAGCAAGCTCGCAACGAGTGCAAATTGGCTTATACCAACTTCGACAGGATCACCGAAGCGATTAAAGCACAGCACAGACGACGCAACCGATATTAATTTGTTTGACGTACACATGCACTGTTGTTATCGAGGTGCCGTGGATTCACCCTGCCAGCGGGGCGAGGCCGGATATTCCGGGATGGCTTATGCAGCAGCGATCCAGGACATGCAGACTTCTGCCAGTGTAGCTAAAAGTTCCGAGTACATTCTTGGTTATGTACTTGCTTGGCCTACCATTGGCCAAGATATTCTATATCAACACTAGAGTTTAACTAAGCATCATCAGCACGATTCCTTTGAATGAGTGGTCTCTGTTCGAAGATTCGCAAAGTATATGGTGAAGGTCGAGGATCGATCGATAAAGGTAGCATGAAGGCAGCATGAAGCAATAGCCGTACCTATTTACCTAAAATGCCTTATCAAGTTCAAGGTGTTTTCTTTTCTTTCTTTTTCCTCTCCCTTTTTTATTTTATTTTTTGAACACGGACGTAAAGATGTAGGCTGGTATGTAGCCACCCGACGCAACTTAGTTCAATTGGAGTAGTCGGCAAATTAATGCTAGAACCCTCATATTATAAATAGCAATAGACAAGGAGATGCGAGAAAAATGATAAGAAAAAGAATAGTCGTAATTGTTTGACAGCGGTATCAAAAGGGAGGATGAATAGATCAGTTCTTCTAACTACATCTAGCATCGAGTGATATTTAATGATCAACGGGAAACAACCGAAAACGGAATGATCCGCGGCTACGGAGGCAGAACGTGTTTGCCGTCTAAACTTGACATGGTATTAGCATAATCAGATAAGTGCAGATGATATGGTTCCCGATCTTGGATAGCCAGCCAGGGTTTCATTATCGGAAGTACCAACGGCGATGTTTTTTTTTTCTGCTAACAGCAATCGGAAGAATTTGGCGAATGGAACCAGTCGATTCGCCGAACTTTATGGTTTACGAAGTTAGATGACCTACATGGGTCGATATCATACGTCTCCCTGTGGAATGCAAAGAGATCTCTGAAGAAAGAGATTATTTGGCTCTTTCCGGCCATCTCGTCTCAGCCGAAGGGAAAGCGATTATGGGAATCTTCAATTACGAATAGAATCCGCTAGGTATGCCTGAACATAGATGCAGTAAGGTTTAGAATACTGTCCACACGGGTTACTGAGAATTTGGCATAATCTCGAGTGCTCATGGGGTGATAAGTGGCTCGCTGTTCTGGCATACACACATCTATCCTAGGATAGGCTGCATGAGCAGACATAACCCCATACAAATGATTCTGTCCCGCTGCATCTCGGCCATATTGAAGTAAACTCACGAGGAAAAGTTGCGATAACTTGAGCGGCTAAACCCGGCTGTTGCAAATAAAGGTGTGGCACATCTTTCCAGGACTAAGGAACCTATTATCTGGGTCGGGTCGCATGCTGTACAGCGGCGATCTGTAAGGAGATAGATTACGAAGCTATAAGGTTTTGTCAGCTAGAATCCTATGGAGTTCTGGTCAGGGAGATTAAGCGAAGCAGCATAACTTACAATATGACTTCTTAAAGAACGACACCTGATCGTGTATCCCTAGCTATATATTCCTCTGTGCTTGTTTTAATGCAGGCACGCGTACCCGTTCCTGGACTTGATAATCCTTATAGCAGATATTTCTTATATATACTTATTAATCAAGAAATCAGAGATTGATAAAGTAGCTCTCTCCAAAATCAAGGGGAAATATCCCAGACATCGAAAAGGGTTTCTTCAAAGTCTATGTGCGTAGATATTCTTGGCTATTGTTGACTTTTGCTACTCGTGGTCACCTCTAGCCAAGGAAGTTCAAGGTGAAATATTGGCAATGGAGGTGCTCGCCTTAGACTGAATACAAATTTAAAGGGCCAGTTGATCATCGTGACATGTATGTAACAGTAACAGTGAGCATACGTACACGTTTATCTAAACCCTTCAGTCTCATTTGTACCCCTAGGAGAAGATTTAATCATGTCTTACGTCGATGCTGAACACGTGTTCAGAGCTAGTTTTTCTTTCTATATAACTTGGGTCGCTCCCTCTCCCTCAAAAAACTATCGTCTTCATCATGAAGCTTCTTACAATTATATATTGATCGAATTCTGAAGAGGCATTAACTCTTATTTATCCCTACGCTTCATCGTGAGTTACCCCTCTACAGTCAATAAATTTGTGATGGCAGTTACTCTAGATCTCATTATAAGTATGAGGACCCCCTTGCAGAAAAGCCCTATGCCGAGAGGTATGTTTAGGCCGCGGCCGCGCCGCCGGTTCATTTGTCGATCAATATGTCGATCTAAAACGGCGATCTCCCAGTACTTATCGGTTTCAGACCCGCAGGACGTTCGCCGATGACTCTGGTACCTCTGCTCATCAGGTGACCAAGGAGCCGAGTGACTTTTTATGATACAAAAGTAGCTCATCGAACAGTCACTCCCCAGGTATACCTTTCTCCCTAGTTATGATCTAGTTACAGTGACCTAACTTAAAATATATTAAAAATTAGTAGGTTACAGCGCTATCCCCTGGAAACCAAGCGTGATGGCTAAGGACCTCCTATCAAGGTTTCATTAACCAGATCTGAAACGTTGCGAAAAGTTTAGATCAAAATTCTAAAATTATGTTCCCACCCATTCAACACGTCACGCTGTCACGTGATCCAGGCAATCTCAGAACAAACCAAATCAATGGCAAGCGACATGACAGGAACTGGTATCTAAAGTCAACTCATCCGATTCACGAACCTGTGCTGGGGTTAGACTGGGTTTCGGGGTCGGCACCATCACAACCAAATAATTGGTAGCGATACAACCAATAATCAATATTGGCCCCCACTAAAGCGGCATAAATTCACATCAAGAGGTCAGGGACAAAGAAAAAGGAAACAATACACAAGCAGTGCAGGCAGTACCTACATACACATGTGCTTGTAGTGCACACATTGCCAACGAAACGAAACGAGGCTTCGAAAGGAGAATTTTCAAAACCAGCAAATTAATCCTTCACCCAGCTGCCAGCCTTGTGAAAGCGAAGAGAAAGGGGGGGGAAAAAAAAAGGTGTTACTGAAGGAATATTCTCCACGTTTCTTATCGTCCTCGGCCCCCTTTCTGGCCACGTCAGATAATTGTCACTCTGCATCAATTCAAAAACGAGAGGAACCGCCCTGTGGAATATCTAGGAAAAAACCGTATTACCGAGATGGCCCAATATCATTCTTGTACCACTCGGTGGCACTCACTCAAGGGTTACACACCCGAAACAAGGTTATTTGCCCCAGACAGTAACAGTCATACTCAGGACAAGACAATTGCAAGGCAAGCAAGACTACCAATTACCGCATCACAGGGAACTCGAGAGGAACATAGGGGGAAAGGGTGACCATCTCACTCCGTACATTCATTTTATTCTCGGCCGAAAAAAATCTCTTCAGGTATATACATAACTACATACATCTACTTCTGATCCCATTATATTTCCAACAAAAAAAAGAAATCGTTTCAACGTTCAAATTCCAGCCTCACCCAACCAAACCCGCCATGCCCGCTCGCCCGCTTTATGTATATTCAAACTTGAGTTTATTTGTATGTACTTACTTTCTTTACGCTTAGCTGTCCCACTGTCAACATGCAAGCATATGAAAGGTATTAAGGCTCTCTGCGACGGGCAACGAATTTAAAATGAAGTGAAGGGGTAGGTAGTGTGGTTGCAAAGCATAGACAGTTTGAAAGGTAGAAGGCGGAGGGGGGGTATTCTGAGAGCGAAAGAGAGAGGGAGAGAGAGAGCCCGACGACATGAAAGAAGAAAAAAGCGCAGCAAAAACACAGGACATAAGTATCAGTCTGATTTGAGAAAAAAAAAAAAGAAAAAGAAAAGAAAAAAAAGGAACCGTAGTTCAAAGATACATAGAATACAAGGCGGTGTTGGTGTTATATGTAGAAGAAAGCAAATCATCCATCCGTCCAGAAGGATCAACAAAAAAAAGACTTGATCATCAATCAGCAAAGTAGAAGGAAAAAAAAAAACTCCAGGTCCCACGCAAAAGCAAAGCAAAAGCAAAGCAAAACAAAACAATGCCATCAAACAAAAAACAGAAACAGAAAAAAAGAACCCCCATAGAACCAACTATTCGTATAAAAAAAAAGGTAGTTTGCTTTGTAGATACAAAATCTACAACTCTCGCCCCCCCCTCTCACTCACTCTCCCAACCAGCCAGCCGCAGAAAAGAACAGAGAAAAAAAAAAGTCTCATCCAAACCACCCACTACCCGCCTCCCTCTCTTTCCGCGGCAATTTTTTTGGCATCTATAAAAAAAAATCCGTGTGAACAAAAAAAAAGAAAAAAGAAGAAACCCCAAGAGAAACCCACACAATAAAGAAAAGAAGAAAAGGAGAAGAAGCTAAAAAAAAGATACTAGAATAAGAAGAAGGGACAAAGAAGTGAATATATGAAGGGCTTTTGTAATGTCGGAGGAGGGTAGGTAGCCAAGTAGCTAGCTAGCTAGTGAGGTCAAGACAGGAAAAATGGTATAACAGGGCAAGCAGTATAGGTAGCATAACAGGGTGCAGTACAATACGTAGTCTATCCAGTACACCAAAGTCGCCGTGACAGCACTGGCTGACGGAGGTGGGGGATAGAGCGTACGCATGTACGGACGGTACTGGGCTGGCTAGATGCTGAACCAACCAGAGTTCCAAAACCGGGAATAGGAAGAAGTAAGTATCGTAAGAAGAAGAAGTAAGTAAGTAAGTGAGCTGAGCCGAAGAAGAAGAAAGAAGTAAAGAAGAAGAGACCGCCCCAAGGTACGAAGTAAGTAACGTATGAAGAAGAAAAAGCACTATGATAGAAGAAGAAGACTAAACACAACAAATCCTACTCAGGAAACCAAGACACACAAACAAGGAAAAAACACAGCACAGTAAAAAAAGAAAAAAAGGTAAACACCCTGCAACACCCCCCCCCCTTCCCCATCGAAAAAAGCTCCGAGTCAGCTCTCGGTGGAGGAGAGGACGGGAGCGGGGAATTCATACCCCACCCCCCCCACCCCCCCCACCCCATATCCTCTCTCTCCCCACTCCACTTTCCTGACAAAGGGAAAAAAAGACAGACGGCGGGCGAGAACTCCTTTTTTTTCCATTATTTTGTTGACGTTGTTATTTGTTGTTTGGTTATTGTTGGTTTCCATTTCGAAATGACTTTTTATGTATATTTATCGTTGTGTTGTTATTTGGATTCGATAATTTGAGGGGGGGGCATTGAGGGTGAGGATGGGCGTTTCTCATCTGCACATGGGGCGAGGGCGAGGAAAGTCATCGTCCGTACAGCCCACCGCTGTGTACCGAGATCCCACCGCCGTGGTGTGCGTGGTGTGACATATTCATGCCACCGCCGGCACTTGGCGAGCTCATATCGGGGTTCTAAAATCCAACCAATTCACGTCAGCGCTCTATTCTCCAAAACCAGATATATCGCGCAGCTTCAAACACGACCGTCCAGCCCAGGCCCCCCGGCCGCCAAAATGAATAATGGACCCTCCATAATCTCTTTCATTCGCAGCAACCACCCCACAGGAGCGAAAAAAGAGAGAGGCAGCGGCCCAATGCACCAACCCGTCCCCCCACAGCATCCACCAACGAAATAACAAAAAAAAAGTTGCAAAGCGGGATATCAAGCCCCAGGGAGCTCATTACCTTCTTCCGCTTCTTCTTCTTCTTTTCCTCATTCCACCCCTCTCTTCCACCGCTTCCCAAATCCCTCCCTCCGCTTCCTGCTGCTCCTGGTCCATTACCTCCGCCGCCGCCGCCTCTGTCTCCTCCGCCGCCGCCACTTCCATTATTCACCGGGGGGCCGTCCTCGTCGTCATCTCCGTACCCTTCATAACTGGCATCGTCATACCTTCTTCGCTTCTTGCTGCGTTTAGGCCTGGCGTCATCCCCGCCCGCAGACACAGACGACAGGCCGCTCGGCGTCGAGCCGTTCACATGTGGGGTTCCGACCGCGACCGCAGGGGTGGTCGCGGCAGTCGCATGCGGAGCTTTCCGGCGGAGCTCATCCTCAAGTCCCAGGATCGAGGCGTCAAACTGGTTGGACCGAACAAGAAAAGCACACACACGTTAGTCATTGCTGTCCAAACCAACCAACCCAACAACACCCACCTCCCTCCCTGTCCAGCAGGAAAGGAAAGAAAAAAACACTTTTGCATGCTTTGTTTCTGTTCCCCCCGAGGGGTGAGGGGGAGGGCGGTACAAGTCAAGGGATACACACCCCAGGTATATCGCCCTTCGTCATATTCAGACCCTTCCGCAGCTTGTTCATGTCCAGCCCCTTGCTGAGCTCTTTCCCGTGCACGTTCTGGTTGTGCCATTCCTCCTCCGGCCACATGAGCAGCGTTCCCAAGAGATCCATCTTATTGGCATCTCCGGCGGCATCGCCGGCGGAATTGGGGTCCGTCTGCGCGGCCTTGGTGACGACAATGTTCTTGCCCGGGAGGTCATTGATGAAGCCCTTGTAGCTCTTCCGCAGCTTGTTCTTCACGCCCGTCGCCGGATTGAACCGGGCCACTGAGTCGGCGATCGGTCGCAGGCCGTAGAGGGCGAGCAGGTTATCTGTAAGGTCTGGATAGGAAGGTTCATGCGCTGTTGCGTGTTAACCCTCATTCTTTCTCTTGATTCTGCCTGTTTTTATTGAAGTTCATTGTTTTTTTTTTTACCACACCTACCGCGACGGGGGGAAATGAAAGAAGGCGGGAAAGAGGGAAGGGGGGGAGGGGGGGTAGGGTTAACCAACGTTTCGGGCAGACTAAATAGTATGTTGACACATCTGGCTGAGAGAGGACCTCATGCTCGCTAGGTATGGGGGGAGATGCATCGGGCATGTATCCCTGCGACATTGAATTCCTGTAGCGGAGAGCGGGAGCGGTCGTGGGTGCGTTCCTGTCGAAAGGGCTGCTTGTCCGCCGCCTTTTGTGAGACTTTTCATCGTCCTCCTCCATGTTGGTGTCGCCGTCGGTGTCCTCGTGCGACGTGGTTGGGGGCACCGTGCCCGCAGCCGAGCTTGTCGGCGTGAGGAGCGTTGAATTTGGTGCTGTTGTTGTCGATGTTGTTGTGGCTGTGGACGACATCGACGACGTGGGTTGTTGTTGGTGATGGTGCTGGTGGTGGTGCTGCTGCTGCTGCTGCTGCCGCGACATGTTGTTTGGGAGGGAGGAGGTGGTGGTGAAGGAGGAGGAGGTGGTGAAGGAGGAGGAGGATGAAGAGTTGAACGAGGCGTTGTTCAGCAGCGGAGACGAGTGTGGCGGTGAGACGCCCGCGGCTACCGACGAGTGGTACTTTGTGGTTGTTGTGGGCGCGGTTGTGGAAGATGATGATGAAGTGTTGTTGGTGGAGGAGGAGGTGGTGTTGCTTGAGCCAGCATGGTTGGCGGCGGACATGTAGAAAGGGGGGGACAGAGGAGTGGTAGGCTGGTGGTGGTGCTGCTGCTGCTGCTGCTGCTGCTGGTGTTCCAGGGGAGGCGGAGGATGAGGGTGGTGGTGGTTGTGGGAATAGAGGGTTGTCATACGCGACGACGGTGTCGGGGGAGGTGTCTGTGACGACGAAGAAGAACTGATTTTGGCGGTTCTTTTTTTTTTCTTTCCTTGGTTGACTGACGGTGGAAAGGCGTCAATCAATCAGAAAACGGAAGGGAATGTGATAGTGATCAACAACGGCAGAGAGAGGGAAATAGAATAATAGTTAATTCCTCCTCTTCTTTTTTTTCCCCTTCAAAATAAAATAAATAGAAGGTGTTGTTATTAGAAGAATTCCTTTAAGGCCGTGCAAAGAAAAATCAACCTTTGCTTTCTCTCTCGAGCTAGCGATGGTTGATTAGGAAAAAAAAGTTGGTCGTGAAATGCTGCTTAATGCCGATCGTAGAGCGTGTGGATCGTTGCTAGGTGATGATGGTTCGCGTCGATGGGCGATGATGTCGAAACCCTTTTTTTTTCTTTCCCCCTTCCGACCGTTTCGAAACAAGTGCCCTTTTCTATCAGAGAGAGAAATAGAAAGAAGGCAGAAGAAAGAGAAAGAAGAAACCAGACAGCGCCCTTAATGAGAGGAGAGATATAGCGATATATCTTCTGTCTTCCCAGAAATAGGTTGTTAGGTTTGAAGAAGAAAAGGAAATTCACGGCCTAAAAAAAGAGATCGGCGTTGGAATCGTCTGCCTGTCTTGTCTGACCGCTCTAGTAGGTAGGTATCTAGTAGGTAGGTATGTATGTAGAAGAATCTCGTCTCCACAGACTCCTATTACGGGGTGTAGAGATAGAGATGGGTGATTGGGTGAGAGAGAGAGAGAGTTTGGGGGGAAAGTAGTACGATCTTGCGCGGGTAGAGAGCGAGCGAGAGGGAGTGGGGAGAGGGTGGGGGGGGGGGGGGTTGGAGGAGGAGCTAGGCAGGTTGCTTTGCTATCCGGCAACAACCACGGGGAGGATGATGATGGAAGAAGCCCGTTTTCCCTATCCTATTTTCTATTTCCCTATGACCTAACCAGCCCTTTTTCTCTTCCCCAACTACTAGCTTTCTTCTTCTCTTCTCGTCTGTTCTGCTCAACAACTACAGGGGCCGGCCTTCCCTCTTTTCTTCTTCCTCCCTTTATCCCTGATATCCTAATTCCTACGCAATCCCTAATTCCTACTTTGTATTTTCCTGCCGTAGATAGCTATATTTTTATTTCTGCTCCTTCCAGTTGGCTGCGGTTGCGGTTGCGATTGTGGGGGTGGTGGTTGGTAACGGTGGTTGTGGGCTTTAGGCGGCGATGGATGTATGGCTGGATGGGGGGCCGTGGCAAAGCTCCGAGATCGATTGATTGCTGGATAGGGAAAACAATACAATCCTTGACCGGTGATGGGGGATGGGGGGAAGGGAGGGGGGGGGGTACTCCGGATTTTACTGTGTCGTATATATGGGCACGGAGAGAGAGTGAACGACGAGCGTAGTACTGTCGTTTTTCGTGGGGATTAATTTTTTGGGGGAGAGGGGAGGAGGGGAGGGGAGAGTAAGTGAGAGAGAGAGAATGAGAGTGAGTGAGCGAGAGAGAGCGTAGAGTATGTAAGTAAAGCAGGTAAAGCAGGTAGGTGGTAGACCGCAGTAGGTAGAGCAGCAGGTCCGTTCCACGCAGGACTGACTGGGACTTGGATTTGTGGGTAAGGGTCAGACACGGCCACGGATGGATGGTGGGCGCTGGTGTGGGTGAGTGAGTGGGTGGTGCTGGGTGTGGTTGTGGTGGTGGGCGTGGATGCAACAACCCCAGACAGACAGACAGACAGACAGACAGGCAGGCAGGCAGGGTGGTGGAAGGAAAGAAGCTGGAGGTGGTGGTGTGTGAAGATGCACCGAGTGAGTGAGTGTGCGCGCCTCTCCCTTCTCCTTCTTACTCACGACTTTAATTCTATTCTATCTATCCCTCACAGGTACAGAGAGAGAGGTACCAGACATACAATTCCCCCAGACGGCCGCCCTGCCCTCACCCCCGAGCTGGCTGGGCCCAATTGTGCTACCTTCTACTGCTCTACCTGCTCTACGGATCCATCCCACGGTGTGTGGGAGAGTTACGGTACCCCCCGGTCAGCCATAACCGACGCTCCCCGTTTTCAACCACACCCGCCCAGGATGGCGATTCCATTCTATCTGTTCCCTCAAGCCTAGATCTCTCCCTTCCCTCCCCAGCAATAAATAGTATCGACTATGACATCTAGACCTCCCTCACACGCGCTGTGCGCAACAAACACCTGCCATGTAGCACAGTACCTAGCTTCTCTTTCTTTTCTTTCTTCCCCCCAGATGAAACAGCCCGCGATGATTGACGACGGGCGCGCGACCCCCTCCACCCCCCCAAAAAATAAAAATAAAAATGCGGCGAACCAGACTCACACACCCCCCATATGCGGGTCACGCAAGCAAGGGGGAGGTGGGAGGGTGAGGGTGGGAGACGGAGGTGGAGGAGGAGGGGGGATTGTAGAGAAAGAGTATCATGGCAATTTTTTTTCTCACTTTTTTTTTCCTGCTGAATGATGGATGGGGTTTCCATCCATCATGCTCATGCAGTGGCCGCCAGCAAGCAAGCAGGTCTGTATGTGATGTGTAGAGGGAGGTCGCAATCTACGTTGATGGTTGATGGTACGGGGGGGACAGGGTATAACCTACGGGCTCCACAAGTGTGCAGGCAGGTTACGGGGTGACGCCCTGGACCACCGGTAGAGTACCGACCGTGGCAGAGTTGAGCCAGGGCCAGCCCAGGCCACACACCACATCCCTCCAGTGAGCGCCTAGATAGGAAGTGTAGGGCAGGTTGTGTAGGTAGGGCAGGTACAACGCGACCGAACAGAACAAACCTTGTTTCCCCGTCATACGAGCGAGTGAGTCCCCCCCCCGCGCCCCTCGCTCCAGACCTAGACAGGGAGAGAAACAGAAAAAGGGCTGCCAGATAGCTAGACCGTGTTGGGCACCTTAGACCTAGTATGTACCCAAATTTACGTCCGATCTGGCTGGCTGGCTGTCTGTCGCGGGAGGGAGGGAGGGAGGGATAGCGAGAGGCAAAGTCAAAAGCAGCGAAAGGGAAGTTTCTCTTCTCAGAAGGGGTGGGTGGTGGGGGATGTGTGTGGTGGTGGTGGTGGTGGTGCGAAAGGGAAAGGGTCGCAAAGGCAAAGGGTCGAAAGGGAACCTGCAGACGAAGAGGGTGGCCGGTGGCTGATGAGTGGATGGATGGATGGATCATGGAGGGATCGATGGGATGGGTTGGGTGGATGCCAGGGAAGGGAAGGGAAGGGAAGGGAGCTTAAGGAGGGAAGGACGGAGCGAGGGTGCCTGGAACTAGCTGCTAACATGCTTCTTTTTTCACTTCCTCTTTCTTCTGCTGCAGATAGATATATCGAGCACTGGCTGTGATACCTCTCTGCCTCTGCCTGCCTCTGGCTGCCTGCCTGCTGCTGCTCTTCCTCTTGCTGCTGCCCTGCTGCCCAGCTGCTCTGTGTCTAAAATAGAAGGCTGTGCTCTTCTTCTTGCCTTCTTGCCTGCTTCCTCGTTCTTCTTCGCCTCGCTCGCTCGGTAGCTGCCGCCGAGACCTGCCTGGACAACGACAACGTCAATGATGACATCTCGCCCCACAACTACAAGCAGTTAGTGTGTGCCCGACCAATCAGCCAGCGCGCAGCTACCACAAAGACCTCGCTCAGTCAATGATTGATCCACAAGCTGTGATTCACAACCTCTGCTACCTACAACCACAACGTTTTCTACGAGCCTACACAACATACCGTCCGATGCTAATAGATAAACAATTAATACTCTAATAAATAAATATAAAAAACCCCTTCCTTAACCAAATACTCCAGCTCTCCATATAAACTCCTACCCCTACAATTACAATGGACGACGACGACTACGGCGACGCCCCCGACGCCGACCTCGCTGCCGCCCTCGAGGCCGCCGAACGCACACAAGCCCGCCCCACAGCACCCCCCGCACCCTCCGCACCCGCACCCGCACCCCCACAGCGGCCCGCCCCAGTCGTAGGCAAGCTCCCCGTACAGCAGCCCATACCGCAGAAGCTACGTCCCGCCGGGTCCTCAATCATCGTCAACACGCGACAGGTATGATATCGACTATATATAGCTATACTAACTAGCTATAGCTATATATACATATCTAACCTGGCAAAAAAAAAAAAAAAAACAGAAGGGAAACCCAATCCTCACATACATCAAGAACGTCCCATGGGAATACGGCGACATAATCCCCGACTACCTCGTCGGCGCTAGCACCTGTGCACTCTTCCTCAGTCTCAAATACCACCGTACGTCCCCTCTTTCCCCCTCCCCCCCCCCCTCCCCTACTAACTCCCCCTCCCCTACTAACTCCCCCGCCTCTTACTCTTGCTCCCAGTCAAGTCATCTACCATTACCATACCACTTACTAATCCCTCTAGGCCTACACCCCGAGTACCTCTACACGCGCCTCAAACCCCTCACCAACACCTACACCCTCCGCCTCCTCCTCGTCCTCGTCGACATCGACACCCACGCCGACCCCCTCCGCGAACTAACGCGCACCTGCCTCCTCAACGACCTGACCCTCCTCCTCTCCTGGTCGGCCCCTGAAGCGGGCCGCTACCTCGAGACCTACAAAATGTACGAGCACGCCTCGCCCGCGGCGATCATGGAGCGGTCCTCGGACGACCCGGCGACACGCGTGGTCGAGGTGCTGACGCAGGTGCGCAGCGTGAATAGAACAGACGCCGTAGCCCTGGTGAGTAACTTTGGGACTGTGAGGGGAGCCGTGAATACGTGTGCGGAGGAGGTGGTGATGGTGCAGGGGTGGGGGCAGAAGAAGGTGGAGAGGTGGGAGAAGGCGGTGGGGGCGCCGTTTAGGAGGGGTGGGGGGGTGGGCGCGATGAAGTCGAGAGAGGCGAGAGGGGTAGCGGAGAGACGGAGGAAGAGGGTGGAGGCGAGGGTGGGGGCGAAGTTGGGGATTGGGGGGGTGGAGGAGGTGGAGGGGGAGGAGGGGGAGAAGGAGAAAGAGAAAGAGATGGAGCAGTGGGTGGTGGAGGATGATGAAGAGGCGTTGATGGCCGTGGCGGAGATGGAGGCGGAGGAGCGGAGGAGGAAGGAGCTCGAGATGGGGAAAGGCAAAGGGAAAGGGAAGGAAGTAGATAGACCCGCCGAAGCTGCACCTGATGATGAAGCTGCTACTTCAGGCATCATGGATGCACTAACAAAACTGCGAGAGCGTGGGTAGAGATAGCTTCAATGGCTATATAATTGTAAATAATTACCACTCTCCGATTTTCCTGTCAAACCGATCATTGCCCAGTGTCTCCCGGCTAATTATTAAAAACCGTGGTTTGTGCGGTAACAAAATACGTTATTTAACTAAATTAACTACCCTCCTGGTGGTCATTACCCCCAGGGTTTATAATAGCCACGCCAGCCAGCTATATGACTATACAGCAACCCCTAACCCCGTAGTGGGCGGGCCCCGCGGGATCGGGGTGGCTGCTTGCGGTTGCATATATGATCTTCATGAGTATCGATATCACTTACACTCCCAATCTATAGATCTAATCTCCCCTATCTAGCTATATGCATGTACCCATATTTATCCCCCGTCTTCATATGTAAAGCAGAGTAGAAACGACCGCCCCACCACCACCACCACCGCACCATAACCGCACCCCACACGTCCCATCCCTATGCACCCGCCATCTCCACTGTCATCTAGACTGTGCGTGTATGTAGGTGGATTTGGGCAGCTCTACGAGGCCGGTTCCAGTTCCGGGGGCTTACTTTGCCTTGCGCCGGAAGAGGCTGCGCTATATACGCATCTGTTGGAGGGAGTGCAGGCGGATCTCTGGACCGGGAGCCTGGTGGGTGGTGTAGATTATAGGTAACAAGTAGGAAGTACGTTAGAAGCCCATGTCATATCAGTAGTCTACGCCAATTGAAACACCACGAACCTAATATCAAAACAAAAGGCTTCAATTGATCAAAGCGGCAGAAAACCCCACAGGAAGCTACCAATGCCCATAGTATAACTAGATATAGCTACCTACCTACTCCATCCAATCCTCACCCCAGATCCAGATCCAGCTGCACTCAGTGAACTGCCGGTTTGAACCGATGCCTACTTACCAGACCCCCAGTGCACCCCACTCCCAATTCCACTTCCACCGATCTTGATCTCCAACCACCCGCGCGCCGCGGCAGACGCAACCCCAGATACCGCTACCGATTCCATCGCGCCGATCCGCGCATGTGAAGGGCGAATGACGAAGAGGCAGATCAGACATTTCTCTACCTAAGATCGCTGGCCCGGTTCGGAATCTGCCCGGCTGGCTTTTGAATCCGACAGACAGCGCGGGCCGGTTGCGGGGGGTGGGATTGAGACATTACGTGATGGGAGGGGAGGTGGATGGAGGGTGGAGGTTAGAGAGGGAGGGGGGGAGGTCGAGATAGTTGGAGGTTAAGGGCGATTTGGAGTGTTGGTTCGTGTACTACCCATTGAGGTTTTTGGCTCTGCGCATGGTACTCGTGTGCCCCTTACCATAACGCATTTATACTCCTACCGTGAGATTGCGATGCAATTGATGGCTATCAGAGAAGCTAGGGAAATGTTTGAGCTTAAGGATATCATACTAAGCTTCACTCCGCCCTCGAAAACCTCACCTACTGTCATTGCTTTTTCCTAGCTAGCTAGCTCCAGGAGCATGATATCGATCCCGTACCATGGTAGCTACATACGGCCGGCCCCGGACCCGAGAAAGAAGGAAAATTAGATGCCCGTTGCAGGGCCCCCTGTGTAGGTAGCTGGCCCCAGAATTCATTGTCAGGGGGAGGTAATGTACTATGGTGGCTCAGTTGCAGCGGTATTATATTGGGGTAGCTGCGCGGTACGTCTGTGGCTCGTGTGTAGATACATGTGATGTAAATAAAGCAGTACTGCTTATACTACTCCATAGCTAGACAAGATACGGGTCGTAGGGAATAGTTCTCGGGGATAGGGATTTAGGTGTTTTTAGGCGCCCATATATCTAGCTATGGCCCCCACGCTTGGCTCCTTCACAGGTCCTCACTCGGTCGTTATGGGGGCCGGGAAAGACAAGAAAGCAAGCTCTAGCTCGAGCAATAGTAGTACATGGGGTATATATCAGTAGGATATTTTCCAAATAGGAAGAGGGGGTTCGAATTCCCACGGAGCTTTTTTTTTTTTTTTTTCCTATTTATCCAGCCGCTCATAGATCTCTTTATCTTCTTATCAATTAATGGACCTTCCGCCAAAGTTACGATCCTCTATGCATAAAGAACGAAAAGCTATTAAAACTTGAGTTATTACATCGATCCTAAATGCACTGGACACTAACTTGGTCTATATATTGACTTCTGGCTCAGCAAAATTCTCTTCTACCTACGTATTACCATCGCCAACACCACAACTACGGAGACGAGACAAAGTCGTGATTGGTGCCCTGTGTCTTTGCTAGACCATTCTTCTCATCGTTGACATCGGCATCAGAAACTACATGTAGTAGCTATTGGCGGAATCAAAAAGCGTCTGTTGGCTCGTTAAATACATGTATTCAGACCGGGGAATGCGGGATTGACTATAAGCTGTTAATTAGAGATTTATGTAGACAGCCTTGGTGCTGGCCTCTTGCATTAGATATGTAGCCATTGCAGGGAGCCGTTTGTACACGCTGTATGATACATGTGTGTACAGCGATGGGTAATAAGTGATGGAACGCCCTGAGATACAGTTATATCTGCAAGCACCGTATATTGGTGGCGTTTTACCCAAAACAGGTATCACTGTGTCTCAGCCCGTTCCATCACTTATTACCTACCGCTGTACAATAGGTGTCATTATAGGTGTTAATAAAGGTATTGAAATTAGTGTCGTGGCTTTAACACGACGCTAAGTACAGTAGAGTAGAGTATTTAAGGAGATTCCTTCCTCGCCTCCTCACGAAACCATCATCTATGATGCATACTTAATTCCATCGAAACGCCTCATACATGTACATGAGCTAGCTCTCAAGGTCATAGCTAAGGCATTCCGGCTCAGGAAGAGGGTGCCCTACAGAGGACCGAAAAATGCGAATTTAGCAAACTACTACGAGTAGAGATTTTGTTCAAAGCCCCCAAGAAGGCACGGAGCTGGGTGGTATAATAAGTCTAGAAATAAAGGCATTGGGGCAGAACGCGATTCGCCAGCTACAGGTATGAAGATCTAAACCAGCTCCCATCCCGTTCGTTTTAAAGTCGGTGTACTCTACCGGCACTTATCTCATAGCGATTCTTCCATGACGCTGGATAGGCATTGGATACGATTTCTCCCTCCCATCACTTCCAGAACATGTTGGCCGGCCAAACAGGCTTCTATGAATGGGTACTTCGGTCACACCCCTCCTCGTTATATATAGCGCTGACTACGCCATTGAAGATCCCAGGCTATGTTCGCGAATGGGCCAGAACAGAGCTCGATGTCGAATTACGGCTAGCTATCTAGCTGGCTGTTGTACAGGTCCAAATTTCATAGCCAATATATATCAAACAGATAGTTTTCACCGACGTAGCTGAGTACATACTCTTCATTATTACACTACAGAAACACTCAATTCGCCCAAAGTCGCACGAGCAGAGCAAACAAGAGTATGTCCCACATCCCACCGCATCCCGTGCACCCGCGTACAAGATGTCAATTGCGTAGGTGCACGCCGACGCAGCGGGGTGCATGAGAGGAAGCCTCCCTTCCTTCCTTCCTTCCTTCCGTACCCCCACTCCCGAAGAAAGCCACAATGCACGTGACCGAAGTCATCTATCAATCTCACCCAGCCGGCCACGGCCATGCAAGAAGACATCATTCCGGCCTCATTGCAACTTCTGAATTCCAACCTTCTTCTTGTACCTTTGGGGCAGTGGGTACATGTGCTGGGTACCGCTTCCAGCACTCTACCGCATCCGGTACCGACCCTGGAGCTACCTTGTAGCTACCATCGTCTGCGGTCATCCAACCCTGCTGCATCCGCATCACATCAACATCCACATCCAACCGGCAAAATCAGGACAACCTTTACACCACACCACCACTCACCTGTGACCTCTAAGTTACTCTGCTACAGCAGGATACAAGTTCCGGGGAGAAAAAAAAAAAAAAAGCAGAGGGGAAAAAAATGTTTTCGCCAACTCACATGGTCGCACAACTGCTGCTGTTGCTGCACAAAGAAAACATTTTTTTTCTCTCTCGCGCGCTGGAGGTAGATACATGATACTACTCGTAAACGAGTACACTCAATTCTACATCGCACAGATGATCTAACCGGAATAGGATCAGTAGTAGAGTAATAATGGGGCGAGTGATGGGTGGTGACTCGCCTTGTCTAGTACTCACCTCGCGTGTTTCACATCCACGCATAGGTCCAGTGCTAACCAATGCCACTAGGTTTTTTTTTTGCTTTTGTTTTCCTGATGTTGAGGAACAAGCCGATAATTTAGAACTGGAAAACAGTCTTTTATATCCTCACTCTCGCCCGCCCATCTCTCATCGCATACCCTATCATTAGCAATACCAATACCACGGATTCAACCGCTGGGCAGTCGCGCCACGATGCGGCGTCCCTCCAAGTCCAAGCTATTGTGCAGGAATTTTTAAAAAAAACGGCTGGCCATAACGATGGGGGAAGAATCCAAACGACAAACTGTGATACCTTTGATAATGACTCTCGGAATCCTCCCTGTAGTGACCGGAGGAAAGGGGAGGGGGGTCTAATCACCCGTATTCTTCCGAGGTGCGGTGTGCGCGGTACGGGTGATGTGCCCATGGGATGCTTTTTCTCTACATCACATGTAGCGCAGAGCAGTCCGTCAATGGTTTAGTCTAGTCTTCCGATATAGCCTACCCCGAGTACTCTACTCTTGAAGAGTACATACATGTACCGGTACATACATAGCTACACTACATGTAGATACGTACTCCTCCCACTTCCCGGAAATGATATACGGGAGGCTCCAGAGACCGGCGGACGCTACCGCCATAACTCGAAAATTTGGCTAGCTTCCAGAGATCAAAATTACTTGTATGGGAAACTTCTGATGTAGATCCATCGGATGCCATTCAACCAATCACTCAAGCGATAATCCCTGGCCGGAGATGGCCAATTTTTCGAGTTATATATGGCGGTAGTAGAGTACCTCCCTAGCTCATTGCACGTTTGATCGAAGGCCCAGCACAAAAAGCAAATAAAAACGAGCAAAAAGAATACCGGGGTGAGCAGTAGAGTGCGGTAACGGTACATGCTTTTTCCCCCTACACATGCTCGATCCTGAACAAATTTACAGATGAGGATCAAGCCGAGATCTCCCCCGCCAACTACTCTAGCTAACCTAATAGGAGACCGGCCTTGAATGGAATCGACTTTGTGGCACAAATTACAAGATATACTGACTCCCCATCCCCTCCCCGTAACATGCAGGCAAAGAAACAAAGAAAGAAAGAAGAAATAACTTTTTGGTTCTCGTGAATGCCCCCTTCGATCCCACATGGGGCACCGATCCCATCCCACCTATGTAGTAAACCCAGGCCACCAAACCCGGCCCATGCCATCCAGATTTAATAAAAACTAAATAAATCAAATACTCAAAAAAAAGAGAAAAAAATCAAATAAAAAGCTATAAAAAAAAACATATCACAAAAAACGCCCCCCCGCCCCGGCCGCCGCCGCCATTCACAATAAACCATACCTCCCAAATTTAAAAAACAGAGAGAAAAAAAGAGAATCACGAACTGAGCAGATCCATCACACTCATCCCCCGCCCCTTCTTCTCCGGTATTACACCACTACCACCACTCTGCCTACCACCCGCCGCACCTGCGGCAACCTCACTCCCCCGTCTACTCCCGTCCGCCAGCAGCAGCAGCGCATGCGTCGCCTCCGTATCCACCTGATCGGCGAGCGAATACCCCTTCGGAAACAGCCCCGGCGACGCCAGCTGCGGGAACAGGTTCGGCGACGTAGCCGCCGACGCAGACAGCGGATACAGGCCCGGCGACGGCTGCGGATACAGGTTTGGCGAGGGCGCTATCGACGCGCGGCCACCACCGCCGGAGCGGGGGTACAGCGTGGGCGAGGGGTGGGCGGACATGATGTGTGGCTGGGGGAGCTGCTGTGGCTGTGACTGTGACTGTGGGTGGGAGGGGGTGTATGTGGGTGTGGAGTTGGAGAGCGAGAACTGCGATGTGGACGTGGGCGAGTACTCGTGCGCGTTTGTGCAGCTCAGATAGGGCGATGCGTGTTCAGACGCCGGCGCTGGGTAGTAGCTTGCAGCCGTAGATGTAGTAGTAGTAGCAGCAGCAGCGGTGCTGGTTGGCTGCACTTCCGTACTGCATGTCCCAGCTACCGGCACCTCCTCCATGTCGGCCATATCCTCATCATTCGCGTCATTCACCCCGTCCTCTGCGTCATCATTGTCGTCGTCGTCGTCCTCGTCATCGTTGTCGTCGCTGTAGCCGCCGGGCGGGAGCGTGGGGACTTTGTTTTTGTGGGTTGCGGCGCTGTTGGAGGCTTTGAGGTCGGCGACGCACTGTTCGAGGTATTTGAGGTACTCGATGCTTGCCTGTGGGGTGAGTGAAATGTGTCAGCCGGTTATGTTCGAAACCACGGTTTTTAAATAATGGGTTGTACAAAAACGGAAAACCAGACAATTATAAAACCAAAAGCTAAAAAAGTAAAATAAAAATAAAATAAAAATAAAAAAGCGGTAATAGCTATCACCACCACCACCATGCAAACCCAGCCATAAAAAAACTCTAAAAAAAAAAAAGAACCCACCTGAAGAATCGCAAGCTTATGCATCTCCACCCCATTACACGCCGGAATCATGCCCTTCAGCACGCCAAACTCCTCATTCATCTTAAACCTCCTCCGGCGCTCAATCAGACTGTGCGCCGTCTTCCTCGCAATCTTCCTGCCCACCGCCGTCGTCGCCTTTGTCCCCTCCTTCCCCCCTTCCTCTCCTCCCCCTACTCCTCCTGCTCCTGTACCTCCCTTCCCGTTATCCTTCGCAGCACCTTTCCTTCCCCCTTTCGTCCCCGACGCCGCCGCCGACTTCGCATCCCCACCACCACCACCGCTACCGCCGCTGGAAGCAGCAGCCGGCTTCATCTGTATAATCTTCCTATTCCGTGTCGGCGGCGGCGGCAGCGTGATAGTGTCTACCTGCTGCTGCGTCTTCTTCTTCTGTCCGTCCAGCGTCGCTCTCCGACGCTTCTTCGGTGGCGGCGAGGATGTGGGTGGTGTTATAGCTGTAGTAGGAGTGGCTGAGGCGACGGTGGTGGTTGTGGTTGTGGGAGAGACATCTTTTGAGCCGAGGGCGGGCGGAGGGAGCGTGAATGCGAGCTCGAGGGACGACAGGCTGGGCGGGAGCTTGGGCGGGAGGTCGAGTGATGATTGGGGTGTTGGTGGGAGGATGGGACGGGGCATGGCTGTTGGAGGTGTGGTGGGTGCCACGGTGGTGGTTGGTGGTTGATATTGCTGTAGTTGTAGTACGGGCTAGGTGGCCGTGGTTGGATGGTACGGTGGGTAGGTGTGTAAGTAGGTAAAAGAAAAACACACAAGTATATGTGTATATGTTGTGGTTGGTTGGTACAAAGTTGTATGTAGAAGGAAGGGGGGAGAGAGTAAGAGAGAAAGAGAGGGAGGGAAAGAAGGAAAGGGAAAAGGAAGCCACCGCCGGGAGAGTGGGAGATATGAGGGGTTTATTAATATCACACTTCCTCTCAGGGCTTCTCACCTTTTTTTTTAACTCACCTTTTCCCACCTTTTCCCTTCCTCTCTCCCCCACATGTACAAGCTTTTTGGCCTCCGATGCATACAGGCACGAGAGGCACGTACCCATCACCACTGGTCCGAAATACCGCGCACCAAAATCGCGGGGAAAATCCGGGCAGGCAATTCATCAACACTCGGGTTACTCAATAGCACTAAAACACACACGCACACACATGCCCAGAGTTTTTATTTGGGGGGGGGGGGGGGGGGGGGAGGACGCTTCGCTCGATACGACGACGGAGTAGGCATGCCAAACTTCCAATTAGGCCTTTGTGGGACAATTATGTTATGCACTTTATATGTACATCGCCCCGAGGAAAACCCAAGATACTCAAGGAGGAATAGAGGATGAATAATTCCATAATCTGGACTATTTGGACATTTTCAGCAAGAGTACGTATATCGTAGGGCACATGTTGCAGCTTTATGACCATCCAGAAACTGGCAATTGCGAGAAAATTGGCAGCAGCCGTTCTACCCTAGCTGCCCATACCCTCTACAGTTGAAAGGGGTGAGGCGAGTGTCGCGTGCCCGTGGGGAAACTGATAGGCTGCGATCGAGTCTCTACCCATGGCTGGGGGAGGGCGTGCTCAGGATCGAGCTCTGATTGGTCCATTCAACCTGCCAGAGGTCGCGTGTGTTGGGTTGGGATCTGACTGGATGCTTAAATTCGCTCGAACGATGACTGGGGTGGGTGGTGGGTAGCAACGACGTTTCAGCTGTTCATCCGGGTACCCAGCTAGTTACCCGGCTGGACAGAGCAAGGGTGGGGAAGGAAACGTGCTGCCTTCTCAAACCCTTGATAGGCACGGGAGCAATTGATTTGATAGCTTGTGAGCGGAAATGGCGAGATAACAGAGCGTCATTAGGCCTTAGTCCTGGAGATTATTGTACCAGTATGTGTTGAATTCAAGACGCCCGTCCGGCATTGCACGTGCCCTATATACAGTCCTCTTGTCAACACCGCAGCGCCGCAGGCCAGGAACTGGAGCTACCATATCCGTATGTAGCTGCACCAATTATTTACCCGTAGCTGATAGATAACAAGTACTTATCGTAGAGCTCGTTGTGCAACTGGTAGCGGTGTGTTTTGACCAAGGGGCTCAAGTAGGATGCAGAAGTACTCAACAGTACCAAGTAACAGGCCTAACCCGGAAGGTGATATTCATTCTTTGGTGGTGAGGTCCGCCTTAACTGCTGCTGCACAGGCGTATTCTCAATGGTAAAAAGTAAAGGGCTCACATATCGTGCCACTCCCTTACTTCTTACAGTCCTTTCGCAAACGTCCCTGGTCCAGGAGGAAGATGCCTCCGCAACTCTCCGTGCCCTCTTTGAGGTTCTTTTGGCTTATTAATTCTTTATGGCAGCAGGGATCTCGAGATTTACTATCGTAAAACCTAACCCTGCTTCTTTGGACTTGCCTGCAGCTGGCTGATATAAGCAAGATTAGTATGGACTGTTGAAACATTCGGTACAGCCACGCCAATTAATCCATCCGCGATTTGAAGTTCTAAGAAGGTCAATTATTCGTGGAAGTCGCAGCATCTAGAAGGTTGGAGGTTTCGGGACCGCGCCAACACTATGGTATGATCAAGTCCTCATGCAGAGCATTGCCCGTCCGTGTAGATACATAACGACCACTCGTCTTGGGTTAGATAACCTACTATAATACCTAATAAAGTCGTTGTTGCGACGTAGGCAAATAACTGAGTTCTCCGGAGTGGTGACATGAACTATCCACTTCTGAAAATAACCAAAGTTCTTTTCCCAATGTAGAACTTGTGGAAATTTGATGTTTGGCTGTGCGTGTGCCCCATTACTCGATTTAGCCATTGTGGCTTTAAAAACGCACGCTACCAGAGTATCCATCTAGGTATAAATAGTAGTGCTTGATAATCCCGAAGAAATTTTCTGTAACACTCATTTTTGATCCTCAATTCATCTCTGAAAAGTCTTCAAAGATGCTCATCGGACTACCGGTCTTGAAGACCATCTACCTGCTCCTCGCGAGCTCCCTCTTTGCCCAGCTGGTACTATCGTCAGGTAAAGATGACGAAGTTCTTCTCTGGATCGACTTTGACGGAACAATCGCGACGAACGAGGCTTTCGAGACATTGGCGCTTGCTGCGTACGATTCTATGACCGCTCAAGAGGCAGCGCAATTCCCGCCCTGGAGGTGATTTTGAAACACTCCAAATCCAAGATATCAACCAAACCGGTCGGCTGATTCTCGCCGGAAACTTTTAGCTACTATGGCGATGTCTACTACGCCGAATATCTCGACTTTGCCGACAACTATGGGCCCCGTGAAAATATCTCTGCGGAGATTGCCTACCGTTCCTCCCCCGCTCTCCACAAAGTCGAATCCGACTCATTTGAACGCGTGTCGGAGTCTGGTATCTTTGATTATATGCAATTCCCCGTTCTCCAGAAGGCCGCCGCTACGGTCACCATTCGCGAAGGCTTCTGGAAGATGATTGCGTCATCCCTAGAGTGCGACATTACCCCGCGCATCGCATCCCTCAACTGGAGCGTCCGCTGGATCCGTCAGGTTCTGCGCGAAGACCTGAAGAGGATGCGCGCCAACGCTACCGCAGAGGAGCGCGGATGGCTCAAAGCCGACCTCGCTGAGGACATTGCCATCTACTGCTCCGAGATCCTGCCTGACGGCATGGTGAGGGCCAATAAGCTCGACTTCCCAACCAGGCTGCACACCGGTATGGACAAGGTTGAGCTTATGGCACGATTTGAAGCGGACAGAAAAGGAAAGAAGGAGGCCGACAGGGTTTTGTTTTTCGGGGACTCGACGAATGATCTTCCCCCGCTGTGGCTTGAGCCTACTACGGTTGGCGTGGTTGCGGGGCTGGATAGTGGGATGAATAAAACTTTGACAAAGTTTGGCATTGAACTTGTGAAGTTGGATCCAGAGGTGAAGGTTCAAGATACGGTTGGAGAGGGTTTCTTGTACCAGACGGATGAGTATTTTGCTGTTGGGTCTTGGTTGACCGGAGAAAGTTGCAAAAAGAGGAAGGGTTATTAGCTTTGGATACCAGGTACTAGGTTACATGTGTAATAATAAACGTACCTGCATGACTGACATTGTGCACAGCAGTTAACTTTACGTAGGTACATGTAGTTAGTATTATAAGGCGAGGGAGATAGTAGTATTCGGTCAATTATGTGAGAAAGTATTATTGACATGATAAATGAACATAAATTATAAGCGCAAGAGTGCAAGGAGGGCAAATCCCTATGGCTCAGTTGTATAGGGCTGCGGTGGTGATGGAGACGTAGAGTACAGATAGAGGGACAGATCTACATTAGCATGCGCCACGCAACCTTTATTTTGATACGTGTTTAGACTCGTTTATACACCCGGCACGATCCGATAGAGGTTTACAAGTACCTATATACTAGTATTTACGATCAACCAATATAACAGATCATATTGCACCCTTACTCTAATGAGCTCGACTTGCAACACGTGCAAATACTTCAGTAGCCTCAGTCAGCAGAATGGTTCGCTAATAAGCTAGGAGGTCAATTACTAGAGCAGAGCGAAAACCAGACCTCTCTTCAAAATCTTTACAATCACATGCAGATAGAAGCTTTATCTTTGATATTGAGGAAAGTAACGGTGGGTTTTGGTTGCCATGCACTCTTTCGCATGTTACACCTTGCGAGCGAGACATGTGATCGACGAGTGACAGTATATGATTTAGCCCTTCCCTTTTTCTTTTCTTTTCTTTGTTTAACCCATTAATTGTATTTAGCCCTTCCCTTCACCCTAGGTTACTTCTCTTTAAGCATCAGTCAGTTTAGACCTGTTTCCTCGAGCTAAAAAGGCGAAACCACTTAGTCTCGTGAGCTAAACTGGTGCCGCACCATACAACGCACTGAAACAGCGAAATGGAGTTTATGAGAGTGGTGCGCATGCAGGGGAGCCAAGTCATTACCGACTGCAGTACTTACTCAAACATAACACTTTGCTCCTTTCAGTCCCTCAGCATTTTAAAGACCAGCCGGAGCATAACTACGTTCATAGTCAAACCCGCTTAGGCATGGGGCAGCAATGATTAATACCGAGCGGGCAGTTGTCAATAAATCTACGGTTAGCAGCTAGAGGTTTAACTCATCAGTAATCAGAAAGAAAGAGGAAGAAGATGGAGATACCAGTTTGGTGGAGGTATAGGATAGAGCCGTTTACCGCCAAGAATGGTAACTACATTTTTGACCAGGTTAGAGGCTTGTTCTCAAGGACAAACAAGGCTCAGCGCCTGCAGTACTGTTCCCCTGCCCGTTCCAATTCCACGAGCCAGCAAGCCGGCCACGCGCGGCGCACACGTCAGAAGTTTGCTTTGGAGCATCATGGAGCATCACTCGTGCATCAAATACTCTCACGCTGCCTTCGCCTTATAATTAATAATACCAGACGTAACCCGGCTCCTACGGCGAGCAGCTAGCTACTCGTAGGGGATGGGTACGTATACAAGAATTAAATCCGGCTCCGTGTTTAACAACCTTTGCTACCACTACATAACACGACATCTCACAACCAGACATCACAGTTCTTGCCCGAAAGACCTGGCCTAACCACAAACCTGGCACATGGTTCATTACCAACATTCCTCACTCCGAGACATTGTAGTTCCCTCAACGCCCCATTAATAACTTGCTCAAGGATCCCCATTTCCTTGCAGATAAGCGCGGGTTTTGTACTCTGCTTACATACCTCGCCTTACCCATCGAGGGGCCTAGTGTCATTTAGCTAATCGTAGGTTTAAGTGGAGGAGGTGTTCCGCAGGACCTCTTGATACTTCTCGAGAGGCCTAGAAATTCACCGTGTTTCTTCGGCGCTGGTCATGTAAGTATGCAATGGCCAGCTACGCGAAGCTGGATTGATTAGCCCCTGCTCTCCTACTTATCTATCCCAAGTCTCCTCGTGATAATCCACAACAAGGAGTATCGACCCTTGCGTGCAGAAATCTCAGCCCCGGTCCCGCCTAGCCTTAGGCTGTCATTGAGGAACGCACCAGGAGGGGGGAGGGGAGGGGGAGGATTCCTACCCGCCGTGTTTTGTGCTGAGCCAAACCCTCGAGTCCCTTTACCTGTCCCTCTTGGCATGGTCTCTGGGTGGTAGTATTTCGAGGGCCTGGCAAGAGGATAAGAAGCGTTGCAGCAGCACAATCTCTTCGCCGGATCTTCACCGGATCTTTGCATCACTATTTGATTGTTTCCTTAACGTCTAAATCGCTCATAATCTTGTCCAAAGCGTATAGCGAGCTCCTTATTGACCAGATATCGGTATGGATGACCACATATATACATGTAGTAATGGTATCCTACTACCAATTCCTGATGTCCTCTATCTTCCCCGAAAAAATTTACAAACACTATTAGGCGGTGGGGAAAGAAAGAGATGTAACCCTGCACAAGCAATTTCCTTGGCGCTCGAGTGATGCTTTATGACGCAAAAGCCACATCTACTATTACTTATGGTAACTAGCGCGAATAATCGAGCTACATTGTAGAGATTATCACTTATCCTTGGCGTTCAAATATCACTTTCAGCGAATAACACACATGGGCGAGTGGCCTATCGGTTTAACACTCGCCTTCCGGACGGACACCGAGAGGTTGTGCCTTGCCTTCGGCTACAGAAGGTCTAGGGTTCAATCCAGGGGTGGGAGTAGTAGATATGGCTAGACCATCAATGCTACTTTTTGTTCTTTTGTGGATGGGCTAGGGGGGTATTTTTATAGTTTCGACATATTTTATAATGATGAGGTATAAAGTATGTTCATCAGGCATATCGAAGTGTTTTACATCCTTACTGGGGTGCCTCCGGGTGTTACCCCCGGGCCACTATTTGTCCTGCTCCAAAGGCATGTGTGCAGTCTAGAATGTAGGAAATTCGAGGGCCTGAATTTGATTCCTTCTAGCACCTGTGATTGATCTCATATAGCCCGAGTACAGCTACCCGGGTCCTTATGCAAGCAGACCTTCCCATCAGCTCCTGTGGCTACCCCACCCCACCCCACCCCCCGCGAGCCAAGAGATTGATACTTGCTGTGTTCCATTCAATGGTGAGGGCGCAAATTATGTCCAGCACAGCTACAAGCTCTCAAGTATCTCAACCATATCTTGTACACTATTTCCCTCTCAGAAGGGAAAACAGATAAAGATATATCTTGGTCTAAGTCTACCTGTGAATATGAAGGTTCTACTACTAAAAAAGACCTATTCATTCACTAGCGATCACTCGGTACACATGAGTATCAGTGGATGGCATTTCGGTGCAGGTCTGAATTCATCCCGAAAGAAGTTCTTAATAAGATGTATTTGAGGTCGTAGGTTTGGAAGCTTGGAGTAAACTTCTATCACCGAAACCACCAATTTATCTGTAAATTCGTTAATTAGGATTTTCAAGAGACGGTCATACGTGGAGTGGGAAAACGCACGGAAACACTGTTACCAACCCCGCCGCCGATTCCATTGACGGCATGCCACCATCCCTTTGGTATAAATATCCCATCGCCGCTCCTTACCTCGGCCTCGAAACCCCGAGCCTCAAAATGGGTTAATCCATTCCCCCATACGACTTGATTTATCTTATCCTTATGTTCCCCTATCATCATTTCGTCTCCCGTTCGAAATGAAATGTCTCCTCCCCGGTGATACACGTTCATCATCTCCCGTCCCACTTCTGGCGGGAAAAGACGAATCTTCTTCCTTCCCGCCAATTGGACGAAAAGATTAGGGTTTGGATCTTTATGAAGTGGTGTATGGGTTCTTCCACTAAAGCCCATCCATATGTTTACATCATAGATATCGCCCTTGCCAGCCTTTTTTACATACTCCGGTGGTGGCACATATTCTCCAAGAGCCGGAAAATTTAGTAGAAGCTGCTCTTGCGCAAGATATATCACTGACCGTTCCGAGCAATTATCACCGGCAAGATATTGTAGGAATATGTTAAATGGCAGGTATCTCCGATCGAACGTTTGCCTCTCGTCATCCAATATTTCAGTGAACTCTAGAGGCACCAATACATCCCAACGGCCCTTTTCGGCGAGAATATCACCAAAGAACTCTATGTTTATCGATTTTTCGGTCTTCGGAAATAGTTTGTGGGGTTTGAACCAGGCTGAGATGGCGGGGATGTCGCAGAAATGGGATGGTGGAAAGGCGCATGGAAGTTCAGGTTGAAAGTAGGATTTTTGAAACTCTGTGAGTGATGGGGGCTTCAAGATTGGAACAGGCTGGATCGCTTTTGCAGCGTTCTGAAGGAACCGGAGGCTTGGTTTCATCGTAGCAAACGTTAATTAGAAAGCTTTGGTTTATGGTGGTGACGTCGTTAATTTAACTATGTGATCCTAATGCATAACCCTGGGATTGATCTGACCAACCATGGCGGCTCAAGATCCTGTCTTAACGGATGACTCATCAGCACTCTCCCGTCTCTCACTTTTTCCGGTTTATCACTTTCTTTATTAGGTTAATAAATAGTTAGATAGGCCCATGGCCCAATCAATAATTACGAACTTTCTCAAAAAAAGTAGGGGTTCAGATGCCTTACTAATCTTAAAATAACAAGAAGCCATCAAATGACGTCGCAAACCCACGTTCTTTCTTGCGATATTCAGGGTTTACCAGACCACCCCAGGAATCGGAGTGCTACCTATTCGCCGCCAAAAGACTTTCCAAGTTCGGCTACTCACTCAATGAGCGCCTCAGACGATTATTACAAGTGAAACTGCGTACGGATTCACATGAATAACGTCTTGGATGCTTTGGGAGTCGAGCTAATGCGTTGTGCAAATCCTTCAAAATGCGCCCAACCTCCCTTTATAATTCTCGGGACACTGAAACGCATTCTAGTTCATTCAAGCTCTATCCACAGCTGGTCACTTCACCCAAACTACTTTAAACAATTGCCAGATATCACCAACAAAGCTAATGGCGGCAGCCAAACCTAATGCCCCAGAAGGCCCTTCAGTAATTCCACCTGCGTACGTTAACAACACACACATAAGCTCCTCCTTAGCCCCAGAAACGCCAGCTTCTTTTAGGCACTGAAGTGCGGTCCTCTTATTTGCTATCACGGCGCGGACTACTCAACTAATCCCGCGAGACCTCTATGGCGTGGCAGTGTTCTTGTTGTAACTGAATCAGCATGTGTCCCGAGATTTGGCCGAGAGGTAGGTCTAGGGAATGATGTAGGACAGCAAACTGGGAGAACATCAGCATGTCTCCTGGGTTGAAGTTGTTCGATGAGCGCGGGAGAGCATTCTGGAGATTTACAATTGAGGTTGAGATGGTGAGGGAGGAACAGAAGGTGGAATATATCGTCAGCTTTGGTAGCGATAAGGTGTTGAAGAGAGCTTTTTGGATCCCAGGAAAGGACGATAGTATGAGAGTTGTGGTGAGAAAACCCTAATCTTGGCTATAAACCCTTGGGACTAACAGTTTTTGATGATATAGTTCCATTCTTGTAATGGTAGGCACCTTACTAGTCTTAAATTGGAATAACGGAATCTTATTAGATATTTTTATAGGTTTCTCCGTCGGTACTGACGAGGCTGACTACTCGGGCCCTGCTCTCTGGAACGATGTCCTTCGCGTCCATTCCGAGCACCCATTCCATGTCTCAATCGGTGGCGGAGATCAAATATACAATGATGGAATCCGAGTCACCGGCCCTCTCAAGGATTGGGCTAGCCTCGCGAGTGCCTCCAAGAAACGGACCTATCAATGGAGCGAGCAGCTCGAGGCCGATGTAGACGAATGGTATTTCAACAACTATGTTGATTGGTATAGTACTGCACCTTATTCACACGCAAACTCACAGATACCGTCCGTAAATATATGGGATGACCATGATATCATTGATGGATATGGTAGCTATACAGATCGTTTCATGAGCTGCCCCGTGTTTAGGGTGTCGGAAAAACTGCGAGGAAATATTACATGCTTTTTCAACACCACACACCACCAACGGGGGAAGAAAAAGAGGACCCGTGCTGGGTTATCGGGAAAACTCCTGGGAGGTATATCGGGGACACTTCAAGGTCTGTGTATGCCCGACTAGGTAAAAGAATTGGGTTCGTTGGAGTCGATACAAGGAGCGAAAGAACAAGACACATGATCAACGAGCTTGAAACTTACGACCTCCTCTTTGAACGTATGCATCGTGAGGTCGAAGAAGCAGCAGGTGATATTCGCCACATGGTCATCCTACTTGGTGTACCAATCGCCTATCCGCGGCTTGTTTGGCTTGAGAACATCCTTCAATCTCCTCTCTTCGGATTCATACGTTTCCTCAACAAGCGGTTTGGCGTAGCTAGGGCCATTTTCAACAAGTTTGATGGACAAGTTGATATCCTTGATGACTTGGACGATCATTACTGCGCAAAACCACACAAGGAAGAACGTAACGCATTCTTGCTACGACTACAGCAATTTTCATTGGAGAAGCAAGTGAGGATAATGAGCGGAGATGTCCATTTGGCAGCAATTGGAAGGTTTTATTCGAAGCCGGAACTAAATATACCAACAGCCAGCGACCATAGGTACATGGTGAATGTCATTTCTAGCGCTATTACGAATAAGCCACCACCAGAAGCGGTCAGCAATATTTTGGCCAGAAGAAACAAGATCCATCACCTGGATGGCTCCACCGATGAGCAGCTCATCGACTTCTTTAACAAGGATGTTTATGGAAAGCCTCGCCAGAGGAACATGAACACAATGCCATCCAGAAATTATTCTGTAATCACAGAATCTCCAATCGTCTCATCCGGCACCCCTAACATTGATGCCCATCCCAAAACCGAGGTGGGCGAGAAGCCAAAAAGGAAGAAAACAAACACCATAGGAGCTGGTGAGCATGGAGCGGGTGCGGAACATCCAGCAGCAACCGCAGAGAAGGTTGTAGAGACCATTCCAGGTGCATTGAATGTTGCCATAAGGGTTGAGATAGACCAACATCAACCTGACGGAAAAACCTTCAAGTATGGATTTACTAGTAAGCTATCCATCCCTTCAATGCCTACCTAAGCATACATATCTCTCCGCGGAGTTGTGTTTTCTTCGAAACCCTACTAACAGCTCGCGTGTCTCAAATAAAGTTCCCGCTTTGGAGGTACACGCATAAACGTCTTCCTGTTTGTTAGATCGGATAACTCGGATGAGGTGTGGGCAATGCTAGTCACAAGGACATGCATTCAATATCCATTGACTATCAAGTTCAGGGGGGTGGGAGGTATTGGTCAAAACCACGCATTTAATGTATAATAGAGTAGACGGGCATCTGGGATCATGTCCAGTATGGCAAACCATGTCTGCTAGCTTTTTTGTTCTGGATCTGCTATCTTTACCTACAAAAATATCATAACGTATCCGAAGACCGTGTTGTTGATAATTCTGTATCTATCATTGGCTTACGAAGCAAGCTGGGGTAGGCCTGCTTCATGACCCGATTGCTTGGGCAACGGACGTTGACATCGGAGCATAGGCCGCATGCCTCACCGTTGCAGTCAAAGTTAGGCTGGGGTTGGACCTCAGTGTAGGTATGTAAATGTATGTACCTACTGATGGTACTCCAGGCGTGGTAAGGACAAATGCAGAGGCTTAATATATATATAACCATACACACGCATTCTTGGTTCCGTCAAACGAGACCTAATGTCTGGGGTATAGTAACGATCAAAAAGCGCCAGACTATACCTCCTGTAGTTAATAGTACTTTATATCTTTCACAGAGGTTTCCTAAAATACCTACAGGCAGGGATAGGATACCTAGGCGAGAATAACTTTATGTCGGTTCCATGGTTTCAGAAACCTTCAGATTTGGAGCAAAAATATTCCATGCAGTCACCATCTGATTTGGGGGCTAGGGATAAGATAAAAATGTTGGCGAGAAGGGAATGTGCGGGACATGTACCTACATCCGCGTTCGATATTTCAATGGCTGGGATTTCTCAATCTGCCTTCGTCCCCTGGCTTGAACACGGTAAATACGTGTATGGTAAAACCTCCTCACCCACATCCATGATGCACGCATACGGTGCAGCAATGTAGAACACATCAGAGTGTCTACTTTGAGGGTGATGGCGCGTACAACATTGGATCTGGTCAATCATTATGATTGGTATTCCCCACATCTCTAGCTCTGGAGTCATTAATATCATAAATCTCTAGAAGAAACATGTGAAAGCTTACCTCCGCACTATACATGTAGGTACACCACCATATCCTAGTTTTGGAGAGTAATCGAATGATGGCTTAAGAACTAAGAGAGTTTTAATCGCGGGATTATTTGGAAACTTAATTATATGTAGTTTAAGCCCATTCTTTGAAATAGGAGAGGATACATGTATGTAGCCAAAACATAAGATTTGAAGAAAAAACCGCTTGACCCCGGCTCTCCCCCGCTCATGGACCATGTATAATGGAGTCTAACTAAGTACATGTAGTATTCGCTAAAGCCAGCCTTAAGAATTACGATCAATTTGACTTGCACTGCATGTACGTGCAATTTGAGAGTGCATTTTTCAGTTACAGAGTCAACCATGATCCGCATGAGGACGAGGAGGAGCGAATGACAACCCCCCTCCCACTTCGGCGTCTCCGAATATTTCGGCATCGCCGAAACGACATGCAATACCTGTACCTACACAAGTTGCTATTGTTACCGGCCGGGGAAGCCCAGAGTGCCATCCGAATATCTGAATGTATGTATGTAAGTGGGAAAACGGCTCGCTTTAGCATATTGCACGAGCAATAAATCCTTTCCCTCTGCATAAAGGCGAAGGAAAGGTAGCAAGTCGCGGGGTTTTCCAATCCCAGCAGCAGATCCCCACGGTTGCGGCTCATATCCAAGGCTGTAGCTGTTTCACTAAGCACAGTTGGGCTCTGAGACGATCCAGGGTTGGTTCCACAATAGACCAAGTTTATATGAGGTGCTAGCTGCATCGCTAGTATAAGAACTACGACTTTCCAGATACCAGGCCTACGGCCCACTTAACGTGCTTGTTTTCTTGCTTGTAGAGTCCCTCCCTCCCTCTCTACCTGGAATTTTGAGTCAGGACCTGATTACGACAGAGGTAAGGTCGTATCTAGATCTATTCACTTTGAAATTTTCAAACCTGACTGACGCCTTGCCCAGGAACAAAAAAGAAATTAGTTGACGAATTTGTAACAGAAATACATATAAGGACACCCTGTATATTGCTTAAATCCAATCATACAACTATTGATACAGCCTTGAGAAACTGAAACTGAAATAATCAAACCACGAAGGATTACGATCGACAGCCAAAAACCCGAGCCAATACGCCTTACTTCACAAAAACGCCCCTAAGATATCTGAAAACACGGTCAATAAAAATGGAGGTGTTCATCGTAATCAGGTACCCAGGGCCGAGAATCGTCGAGAGTCTCCATTGCTTCAGTTTCAAGGATACTCATTAACTCGCTCTGTTGTTGCTGTTGATTGAGCACTCTATGGTCGTGGGAACTTCCAACAGGCTGCTGAATTGGGGAACCCGCCACCAATGGATTAATGGCCTGGGCGGCCACTGTATGTTGAGAGAAGGTATTTACGGGGTCCCAGGCTCCTACAAATGCCGGAACTCCATGGCGTGTTCCACCACCTGGACCGCTCCCAAAAACACCGTACATTTGGTGGGGGCTGAACATCATATCCTGCAGAGCCTGGGGAACATCTGTCCCCGACGCGCTTCTACTCGGATTATTCTCAAAAAAGTGTGATCCTCCGATGTAATTCGCAGCCCAAGAAGCCGCCGGACTAGGAGTTGTTTCTTCTACAGACTGAACACTTGGAGAACTAGCATATGAGGATGAATGCCTGTGGAGTGGCGAAGATTCCTTTTGAGGGCTTGGTGAGGTGGCAGTGGAGTGTGAGGGTATCGAAGAGTGCGTTGACACTGGGGATTTCCCTTGGTCTGTGGTATAACTTTGCAATGCTGCCCGGGCTAGCCTATCAAATAAGTCTGCTGCAGCTTCCGTTCCAGGCCATCGTTCGGCCAGTACAGTCAAAAGTGATAAGCTGATCTCAAAGTTGGATTCAACCTCCTTTTTCGAATGCAGCTCACGAATTCCCTCGTTATACAATGCCCAGATAAGGGTCAGAGTCGCTGTATATATCTGGTGCAGATAAACCCAGGTAAATTCTATGGTTTTCTCGTCGAACATCTTCTTTTGGAGGTGGATTCCTTTAACTGATGAATGGTAGCATAGTATGGTGGCCTCAAGGGATGGTTGAGGTATCTGCGGAGTTGGGTGGAAAAGGAAGATGCGCATGAGATGATACCTGGAGTATTTAAGTCAGCGCGATATGAAAACCTCGTTTCAGTCCATTTTACCTATGGTCAAACCTGGGATAATTTGTCAGCTGGATTCGGAAAGAAAGTCACAGGGAAAAAAAGATCCCCCACTCTGAACTCACCAGTCATAACTCATGCCACTTCCCTGATCGTTCTGAGGGCAGGTAGCTCTCCAATTGTCAAGTTTTGCACTCATTTCATGGAACCAAGGGTCTTCATCACTCTTCGGGTTTTCTCTAGGGTTCTGATAAAGGGTTTGTCGGATCTCCGCCTGCAATCTCCTCATTCTAAAGAAATGCATAGATATCAACTTTTTGGGAGATGGGGGCCCGGGCAATATCCCTTCTATAGTTATACAAGCGTCATCAACAGTCTCATAAAACCCAACATCGACGAACGAGTCTGCTGTAGCAAAGGAGGAAGGCCGGCCCAGAACATGCGAAAGGCCGTATCTAAGCCGACATCAGCAATCCAACACTAACAAATATTCCAATCAAGAGAACCAAGAAGTTCGCCAAAGCAATCGATTAGTTACATACTCCATAGATGCCAACGACCAAAAGAATCTCCTGCGCATATCCTTGGTTATACAGTCGAGAGGAGTTTCGCTCAACATGATTGTTCGTTCTTGATGGTATCCAAGCTGCATACAAAGTCGTACAGCAATGCCAACTATATGGTACACCTATACACAATAATCAGATACCAGACTCGTACCATATTTAGTAAATGGTTGACACTTACCGCCATACGAGTAGGTGTGACTAGAGCATACTGTGCCATAACAAGCAAACACTGGAGTGTTCGGTGGTCCATAGATTCTAAAACCTCCTCGAGGTGTTCCAGTCCCGCCAGGAAATAGCTATCTGCAATAGTTGCATATTGCCGTGAAAGCCTCTGCATGCTGATAGCCAACACCATTTTCAATTGGAAGTTCTTATAAGGATCTATTGAACCGGAATATACATCGGCCACATCTTGGATGAACGTCGGTTCATGTAAAACTGGGAGTTGATAAAGAGCTATATCATACTTATCAGTCAGTGCTTCGAAAAATCGGGGCAAGTTTAATAGAAACCTTTCTGACAAAATCGATCAACAAGTTTATCAGTAATCTCACGGTTTGGAAGCTTTGTTGCTGGAACAGAGCTGTGATAATGATTCTCGGGATCTGGACTGGACCGCAACGCATGTCTAAATGTACGTCGATGTTGTGTCGTCAAATCTTTGAATGTTTGGGATCCTAAGTTTCTTTTTGCTGACTCTAGAACTAACCGAGTCACAGTGAACCCATTCGAAGTTCCAACATATCGTGGTTCTTTGTAATGTTCATAGTCTGCGAAATTCACCATGGCAACCCCCCTTACCAGGTCTTCAATATTGGGTGTCTCAACCTCAAGTGTCAAGGCCTCCCGCATCTTTATTTCCTCCTCCAGAGCCCGAACCTTGGCTTGTAGATGGACGACATAACTTCTAGGTATGGTCTTTTGTTTTGTCGAATCGAAGAATTCACAGTGCGCCCTACTTCGCTCGCAAGGCCCACACTTCGGTAATCCGGCATCACAACGGGTTTTACGCTGTCATAACTCGTAAGAACTTGTGCCCTAAAACAAATTATGGGTTTCTTACAGTTCTGCACCGTGTGCAAGCTGTTAGAGTATGGTACAGTTTTGGTGGTTCAGATGCCTCTCCCCGACTGCCACCCTCGATATTTCCATCTCTGTCACTACCTTGCCGAGCTTCAGTGGGACTCCTTCGATACTCTTTTCCACGCGTCCCCGGAGATTTTCGTGTCCTGTTAGTTTCCTTCGCTTCCATCGGGGACTCATGGATATCGAATTTCGTGATAGTGATCGTTGCGACGGAGGTGGTCTACCTGGGGAGAAAGCTGAGAGCGGCGGAGTTCAACAGCCGATGATTTGTAGCGGCTACTGAACATACGCCGGGAAAAAGAAACCAACAGCTCCCCTGTTGGACTTGCAATATCTTGCTCGTATGTAGCCGTCAATGTCCTGCGTCAGCCTTCTTGTGCTTATTCCCCGCGAAGAAGTCGTTTGGGTGTGTGACACGACCGGCCGCAACAACGTAAGGGCGCCGGCCTAGCGAGATGAGGGGAACTTCAACCAGATGGAGATGGATGTTCCGGATAATTCAGTGTACAGTGCACTTTGCGAGTACATACCTCGTGAATGTTGCAGTGATGATAGGATTCCTGAATGGGACAAACGGCTTGGTATCTCGGGATTGTTTGAATGAGGCCCATATAGTATCAGCCTACCTGTCTTTTCTCCCGATGACAGACAACTATTAGGACATATCTGAATACCGCAAGCTACACGCTGCAGCGTTGAATAGTTCCTCCAATACCAACACTCGGAATCGTGGGTGCAGGGGTTGCAGAAGATGATGGATGATCGTGCTACAGCTGTCAAAGGGATATGTACTTCTCGTTGCCGTGGTCAATGTTGTCCTGAAAGAATATAAGGATTGCTGTCAGATGATATTGCTCCTTTACTCGGATAGCTCGTGAGCTGCATATTGGTAAGTTTGGTGTTATGTACATACATTAGTACATACATTTCTTGAACGGAGTTTATTCGCCGGAGTTTCTCCCGTGACCTCCGGGTTATTTTAACCGAAGGCTCGTGCCCTCTCTCCATCTAGAGCTTGCAAATGCATGGTCACTTGCTGGTCAAGTTCAAGCTTTAGAATTATCATCTACAGTAGGCTTAGATATAATATATCCGCATGTCAAGTAGCTATGAACTGTTTACTATGCCGCCAATAATTATGTACCGGGTCCGTACTTGAATACTCGCATTGCAGCTGTTATAAGTTTTAAACGCCCACTAATAGAGATTCTTGTCCAAGACCCTCATGAGATGAGGTTACTGGGTAAGTCTCGATCTTGCAAGTGGATTTCTATACACTCCTATTTATGGCAAATGCTTTCAACTGCAAGTCATAATTCCAGAGTGGCTAAAAGTTCCTGCTCCTCGCAGGAACACGATCCACGGTATGCATGACATCCCGTACTAGCTGAAAGCGCAGAATGCAAGAGCCAAAGAAGTTAAGAGTCCTTGTTTTAGGAGTGTGTATCCCAGCAACAACCTAAACCGCCCTGAGTACGTCGCCCGCGTTAGCTACAACCTACTGATTGATTTGACACCCCTGCCAGTGATGAGTTTGCTGAGCTTATTCTTAATCTGACACTAACAGCCGTTCTTGAGAAGAGTGAGGGGGACACTCCCTTGAGCAAGCAACACTACTTGAGATTCGAATATATTTAACTCAAATCATCTGCTATTCATCGATGGATTCTTTAAGTTCGCCATTATTGCGAGTCAGCAGGCCTGTAAGCGCGTGCTCACGATGTAGGAGCGCAAAAGTGAAGGTTCAACAAATTTCCATGGCCTAGTCAGCGGAACTCTGAAAGCTGCTAATCAAAAAGCTAGTGCGATGGAAAACTACCTGCTTGTACTGCTTGTGAAAAGTCTGGTAAGGTTCATGAATGCACTGGTGGGGGAGACCAATTTGCCAGAGGCAAGGAACGCAGGTAACCATCATCTCTGGCAATACATCTCGAGACTTAAATATTCTGATAAACCCTTTAGCTATATGGCCTCTCTAGAATCAAGGGTAGAAAAGCTCGAAAGAAAACTTGCAGCTATGGATGGCCGGAGAGGTTCGGTTTCCATGCTGGAATCCCAGTATGAGCCCCAAACAGCAATCGGTCAAACTGAAGGTACTTGAAGCCATTTCTATTTCCATCATTGAATTTGGCTGAATCTCTGTGAAGTTCGGTCGGAGACACCTGCCGTAACATTAAATAAACCTGGGAAGCGAGATGATGAGAATGAGATTGAAGAATTGGTTGCGGATTTGGGGTATATGTACGTAAATTTATACCCACATCGCACTTGTGACAAATAGCTAACCACTATGCGTGATATCTCAAGGGCTATCAATGCCACCACAAGAGATTTTTATGGATTCACTAAAAGCATGACTTTTGCAAAACTTATGCTAAAAGCTTCTGCTGCATCAAAAGTGATCGAATCAAAGCCCAAGGCTGGATTACCTGAACGACATGTAGCAACGCAACTGATACAGCATTATTTTGACAAGATATTCACGACACTCCCCTGCCTCAATGAATCCAGTTTCTTTGGGGCAGTAAATTCAGTCTATCGCGACGAGGCAGCATGCAGTCCTTTTGATGTTTATACAGTATATATGGTTCTTGCGATAGGAACAATGTCTTTGTCGAAAAGGAGAGATTCGTTAGCAGCGCATAATGCTGCTTGTTTTGTCAAGTCTGCCTTAGAACATGCGGATTCTGTCATATCGCCAAGTGGGGTAACGGGGGTTCAAGCAACTCTACTACTAGTTCAATACTCAATGCTAGAGCCGGCACATTTCAATAGCTGGTATTTGATAGGAACTGCATCAAGGATAATGATTGATATTGGTCTTCACCAAGAACCTCTGAAGAGTTCGAGGAAAAAATCTGATGTTGATTTACGAAGAAGGATTTTCTACTGTGTTTATACCTTGGATAGGTGAGTTTGTGGATTACCTCTGAGTACTGAATTAGTTTGGTTTGGGACTTAAGTTTGTGGTATAGGTCTATAAGCATGGTCCTCCAGCGGCCGGTTACCTTTTCAGATGACTCTGTCCTGGTAGAGCTACCCAGGGTAGCTAATCCAGATGTCGCTAAAAGAATATACGTCAGGGGTACACTTACACCGATGATTGCTGCCACAAAACTCTTTGAGTTACGGAAACTTCAATCTGAGTGGTATCAAAACTTGCATCTTTCGGGGAATGTTCCCATTGAAGACCCTAAGCCATACTTTCGACAAAGGACAGAAATGTTGAAGGTTTGGAAAGACACAATGCCCGAGTCGATTAATCAATCTACCAAAGACTGGCTCTACCTTGAATGGTATTACCTCAATGTTTATGTTGCTGCTCCTTGTCCAAAGATCCCACGTCCCTGTGACGAAGCGATGGTTCAAATCTTCAATAATTGCGTCAATTACGCACGGAGGTTCCGGAACATACTCCAAGATTCCAATGCTCACTTTGTTTACACGTATCACGATGCCCTTCGCACATACTTCATAGGAAACAACTTTCTCCACGCGGTGTGGCATAGCGAACATGCCCTCATAGATGGCTCGAATATAGAGTCCGCCCTTGAAACAATAAAAGCAATTACGTTCGTTCTGACCTCAATGATTGTTCGATGGCAAGAAGTCGAAACCTTAAGGGATAGATTTCGGGAGGAATCAACTTACATGGTATCGAGGCGATTTCAGCAAAAGCTAGAGAATCTAGTCACTCCTCCGAAATCAGTCATATCAGCACCCCACTTTCCATACGGATGGTCTCTCCCGGTAACAGATAGTTCCCAGCCAGAGTATAACCCTTCAGCACATATTGCGACTGCGGATTTTGGCAACGTAGCCTTCTATCGATATGGTTGAGAGGAAGACTTCCTGTCGTTGAGTCGATATCCTTTATAGTCATCGTTGATGTTCTACTTAACTTAATTGAAAGTTCACTATGTGCTTTATTTATCTGATTACATTTATCTCTTCTCTCTTGCAGTACAAGCGCATTCATTCTGTTGCTGCCCCCACCTCATCCCACGCCCAATCGCTTGAGTTAAATGTTAATAATAAGAAAAGGGGGGTTTCTTTTTTTCTAAAGAAAAAAAGAAAAAAAGAAAAAAGTGATATAACAACCGTCATGACGGCCATTCTAGTCTCGTTACGAGCCTATGGCCATCTTACCACTGGTTACATGTGTATGATCACTGATACTTGGCGTTTAATATGCGTTTCTAATGAAACATCTGAAGCATGTAGGTACTAAGTAACTAAGCCTATTCCATCTTGCTTGAACCCCATGGGGCTCGAACCCATATTATCTGCGTGGTAGCGGTGGCTATAGGTTCTCGTTTTCCTATGTAGCGAGATACACGTATTGCTGGGTGGGAATGAGATTATGCGGTAGCGTACTTTACTCTTTAGGTTTAAGGTTAATACACGACAAATTGATGATACAAGTAGCGCGCTACCTATTTAGGAAATATTACTACAAGGGATAAAAATTGTGAGTGATATCTCATGTTTCATACTAGCACTAACGTTGCGATGTCCAAGATAATCGGGGCTGAATTTTCAGGCCTCCCGCTGAGGTAACCGGTCCTTCCACTCAGCGATACCAGATACAAAATTTTCAAAGATTTAAGAGCCAGGCAAGGCAAGATGATACTCATCACATTGAAAAGCACCTCAGCAAGACTGGCCTTTTTGTATCTTGCTAATTGTTGGTCCATAGCTCTAGTGATCCACAATGTATAATATACTATTTATATATTTATAGAGAAATTTATGTTGGGTCCACCCCCGCTCGAAGCTACCTATTACAGTTTATGGATAAGATTATACCTATGGAAGGCGGATGTTTCTCGGGAAATTCCCGAGTGGGTGGTTGATGGAAATCCTTTAGCTATCCCTTAAACTCTGCTCGAGACATGCTGGCCCCCTTGGTGAGACAAGATTTGTGGCTGGTAGTTACTAATAAAACATGTGGCTTTTTAACACTCGCATGAGGGGGGTAAGCATTGAAAGCTTAGGGGAGAGCTACTGGTACGTTTCGGCCTACAACTCCTGCCTACCAGCTGGTCTGCAGGGATACGCCCCGAGCAGAAGAATCCTGAGAATTAATCAATGGTCTAGTGATTCCAAAGGCTAGATTTAAGATTGGACTCGAGAGAAGAACTTCTTTTTACTATATATTTCTCCGCATTTTATATTGTGATATCGATGTTCATGGAGTTAGCTCAATCGACCCTAGCGTACTGGCATCACCGATCAACCAGTGCCACAGCTTCGGAGCATGGAGTGATAAAGCATGACTGCGGGAAAAGAAAAGAAAAATTAAGATATCCCCTGTAGAATTTAATTTCCAAGGCTGCTTGATTGACACCATGGCCTCGTGCGCCGGCAATGCCGAAACCACCTTTCGTCCTAGGCTTTCCGCTTCACTGGATATAGCAGGTATTGCAACTTCCGCCTGGCCATACTCACCGCCCATGACTACCCTCGAGCTATGATACGTGCGAAAACCAACCCATATCCGAGATCATGGTGGCGAAACTCAGCTGCTTCTTTGATAATGTCAGGCAAGAAAATGAGTGATGGAGCAGTTTAAAGTCTCCAGTGAGTAGAGATGTGATATAGATATAAGAAAATTATGAGCTTCAGAATTCCTCAGCACCACGTGGGGCAGTTATTGACGGTCGTGCGATCGTCAAGCAGCTGCGCAGCCCAACAATAGTTCTAATTCGCAACGAATACTCACTACAGAACCAATGATATAAAATATGATGGGTAAGGTGCTTTATATTTAATTCACATGCCTAACATAAATTCCTTAATCTTGCCTCTTACTAGGCTAAAATGCGCTCTCGTGAAGTGTATCCATCTTTCCTTGAACATGCCCTTGATTTATCAACCGTAAGTCCTTGATTTCCATATACGTACTCACAATCAGGGCCGGCCGGTACAGTGATATAGAGAGAACCGATAAGACCCAGCCCTCAGCTTATACAACAAATTGCAAAGCAGATCAGGTCTTGGTTGCCATGATGCAGCGGGGGTGGAGCTTCTGTTTCAAACATCGGCCATGACTCTCTTGCAGCTTGATGAACTGACTGCAAATGATGGATTCAGCAGTTTAATTCAGTAGTTTAATTTATGTTAAGTCTAGAGGTGCATTTTCTACGTATTGCATGTCCAAGAGCTCGTATTCTCTCAAAACAAATAAATAATATTCATACTTGGCGCATGATCATGACCAGTTGCAGCTAAGTAGTAGTACTAGGGACGATGACCCTTGAAATAATCAATTAAACTGGCCCATTTCAGGCTTTATACCAAGTGAACTCTTATCCTCATGTTCGCTATACCTATACACAGCCTATATAGCTGCAAAATTAAGAATTAACCTCGTCGTGTTTGTTGCCACGACGAACCTCCATTGCATTAATTGGTGTTCAGGACGACCCGGGGTACGTATATCCGTACGTACGCGAAAGATTTGTACGCTACTGTACAAATAATGAGGGTAACGTCAGTGATAGCAAGTAATGCAGAGGTTTTTAAATCCATCCAAAGTGAGGGCTTAGCTGTAGTTTCAATTCCTGGGGAAAGTGGAGATTCAGGTTTTTGTTTGAATTAAGTCGTTTTCTCAGCTTTTACCTTCACTGCCCACCTAATTATTTTCTTCATATGATATATCCCAAATTAAAACGCCTTCCAGGCCTCCAAATACGTCTGTGCATTCCCGTTCGTTCCGACCTGAAATCCGCGAGTCTCTACGTATACCTCGACCTGGTTTATTGAATTTGTATTAAAGACCTCTTTATCCACAATCACTTTCATTTCCTCATCTCTCGAATTCCTCCATATCCCAATACCAAACACCTAGTCAATCATAATTCCTGCACAAAAAAAAAAGTCCCAAGACTATACCCCTTCTTTCAAACACCTTCCAACACTTTTATACATTTGGAATTCGAAATGTGTAATTACGAAAAGATCATCTATGAGGAGTGTAGCCACACCAAACTCCGCCTCATGTCCTATTGCCACTTTGCTCGAAACGATCCCTTCCACCAATGCTGGGGAGTCGCAGCCATCAAACGCGAAAGAAGGGTTGAAGGAGAGAAATGCCCCGACTGCAAGGCTTAAGGAATAGAACCTGAGCCTGAGGGATAGAGGTTTATACGAATGGTAGTTTTATTCTAGTCATGGATTGTTTGTTAGCATAGCAAGCCTTGATATGAAAGATTGTTTACTGGTCCTATTATTTTCGATGCATCTTTTAATTATTTCTTTTGCATGTTTGTCCTTGGTATGACGAAGCAGGGGAACAGGGGAAATTACATCGACAACGGCCATGCAGTGCGGCCGGATAAGATCTGACGGGAAGAGTCATGGGCTAAGCATCTAGAGGAAAGGGTTTAGCAAATAACAATGGGCAAGGATTTACACAACATTTTCAGATGACCTATTAGATGCTCTTGTTACAACATACGCTCTTTTTGCTGGCGAAATCTCCTGCATACTCGTACGGCTGGGTCAGGCGCCCGCCGTGAATTTTGATAGATCTAATTGGCCACGATCTGAACTCCCTATTTTATATACAGGAAGGAACGACCAAGTACTCTACTGACTTGTATGTATGGACAACTAACCAAAACACAAGTACACATGCATGACTGCAAGGCTTGAGAACACTAAGGATATGTAGGTACATCGCTGGATTGTAACTTACTTATAATTATGTAACAACAAGATGCACTGCGTCAAGAATGCTGGTCTCCGAATATTGGCTTTCCGTACTAAATTTCACTAGGGGTGTGCCAACTCGCGACCGCGAGTTATACGTTGAATTATGGGTATCAAATAAAATTTAATTCTCCCTCTACAATCATGAGGGGCCTTCGTGAGTGCTCAGTACTTTGATGTGTCGTGCTTACTAAATACCCCTGTCGCTGTCGACCAATCAGACTACAAGCCCCTTCGAAAAATCGTTAATCCAGTGCATACAGCGTGAGGTAAAATTATTGTAGAAGCATGGGGAGAGTCCTATTGGCCGAGTCAGCCATCTAAACCCTGTTTTTAGACACCTGTTTCTACAATAATTCTCCCTCTCGCTGTAGTAGATGTATTTATGGGGGTCGAACTCTCAAGGAAATATGATAGTTAAGTTACATGTGGTGCAGAGTACCAACGCTTAAAATCGTGGCCTGGTCCGTGCACACACTTAGTCAGGCAATTTTCTCTACAGGTGATGGATGATATGTAGATAGCTCCAGAGCCAATCAAAAGTTAGTTATAACTACCAAATAGGGTTAGTACTAGGCCAAGGAGGCGCGAGTTTAAGGGTTTTATCTACCGTTATTTCTGGGGAATAATCCCATGGGCTTAATGCAAAGTAGTGGTAGAAAAATGCTTGCTGATTGGCTCAAGTCACGGGAATATGCATACACCCTTGACTTCTTTCCTCCCACCACTTTGCTTTAGGCCCATGGGCTTACTTCCCAGAAATAACGGTACTCCATGTATTCAAGGGACAATGACTTATCTACCCCAGGTTTTTCTTTCACTATTAATGTGAGTTACCACAATAGGCAATTGGTACCCACAGTCCCTCTGAAACGCAGCATGAATACGGAATTTAAATTTCGTTTCCGGGCTATTCGTATAATACAGATTTCACATGGAAAGTGGCCCTTGCTGCTAACCAAGCCTTCCTGCTGTTTTGTCACGATTAAGACAGCGAATGTCTCCTCTTCAGAGACCTTGCAAAAGGTCAAAATTGGAACTCTTATGCGAAAGAGTCGCCACAGTTGACGGGAGATTCCAGATGTCGCCTGACCCCACGTGGACACAGATAATGCAATGGATAT